AGGACGGTCTGACACACCTCCTTAATTGGGGGACGGTCAAAAGGTGGGTTGCACGGAGTGTTTAACCCAAGGACTTGCAATGGCTAAGCCGATGCAGTCACGGGCGGAGGTATGCCCGACCAATGACCGATCGAAGTACAGCACAAGGACTTCGAGGCAGGGTGTTGAATTCTGTACATAGGAACGCCCCACACCTTTGGTGAGCCCAGGCTACGGTATAGTATTGTATAGCTGTATACTATGTGACCGATGCAGCGCCTTTGGTTCAAGAGTAAAAGCGTGACCGCTCAGGGTTTTACAGTTTAACTAAAAAACAACAAGGGTTGGAATGGAATGAGCCACTGCACGGAGGATCGCGCCGGGTGCAAGCTCGCAAGCCACCAGCATCAGGTCGCGGCAGGGGGGGGCCCGTCCCATCCGAGCAGCCGCACCGTCTTGACTTGGCCCCAGCCTCGTCAGGGGCGACCCGTTGCCGTTCTTGGAACGTTCCTGAGTTGCGCTGTGCTGGGTCTCGACGCACAACAAGTTTTTCCCTACGGTCCGCATCCTGGCCTGGCCACACGCTTTGTGGGCGGCGCTTGGCGGCGTGGGACGCCGGCATCCAATTCGCCACTGTTGCACACCGTGAATCGATTGGTCTCGTCCTCGGGGTGCGGTCGCGTCTCCGATTTGGAAGGCTGATGTCACTTCAAAACTATTCACCCGCTGCATTGGCCTCCTATTGTGGTCTGGAGGCTCATCCGTTTCAGCCTTTGGTGCTTGCCGCTTCTGGTTGTCTATGAGCAGGGTCGACGCCAACTGGTCGCGCCGCACTTCTGGGCCATTGGACCTGGGGCCAAGTAGGGGCGCCTGCGCTGTGCTCTTCTCCCCTCAGGACTCCTAACCTTGCCGGCACGTCGACATACGTCGATGTCCGTTATTGACATGATTTGGCCTTCCCTCTTGCCTTGGTATGTGAGTAGAGCGAGGATCCGGCCAACGTCATTCCTCGGGCTTCGACATGCTCAACGGCAGGCATGGGCAGAACCCCACACCTTCCCTCTATTGCACTCAGCAGGGTGCATTTTGCTGCCTGGTGGATCCCTTGTTTGGGCCTTGTTGCGCTCGCCAAGCAGCCTGGGACGCGTGGATGCTAGCCTCAGCACGGCCAGACTCTTACCATGACCTCGACTGTCTCGGGCGACCCAATTTGGCTTCCCCCATGCATTGCATCGGCGACACACACTGTGTGCGCTCAGTCTGCACACCTGCCGATTTTGACCTTGCGCATTGTAGCGGACGGGGGGGGAAACCTTGGCCGCCCTGCTCCGTGGTTGCGGCACACCGCAAGTTGTCCTTGAACACAGTTGGTGCAGCTGTCATCAAGCGGGTTCTCTTCCTCACCCGCCTCCCGGTCGAAGCCGCTTCTCAACCGCGTCTTCAGATCTATTTGCTGGACCTTGGCTGCAGTTGCTGCAGTAAACAAGCCCTCGTCCGAACCAGTTAGGATGCCCAAGGCCCTGAGGCAGGCCCTTTTCGGATCAGGCCCTGAAAAGCCTATGACAATGATCTCTGTGCCGTCATAGTCTTCGCTGTCGTTACGAACCCAAATATATCCGAGACTAGGTGCAGCTCTCATGGCATCGGCAACCTGCCTTGCAGCTGCGGGCGCGTCGTCCATGTGCCCAGCTTCCCTGCGCGCCTCGAGTCCAGCCGCCATGCCGAGCGGACACTTGGGCAAACGAGCAGGGCAAAAAACAACAAGGGTTGGAATGGAATGAGCCACTGCACGGAGGATTGCGCCGGGTGCAAGCTCGCAAGCCACCAGCATCAGGTCGCGGCAGGGGCCCGTCCCATCCGAGCAGCCGCACCGTCTTGCCTTGGCCCAAGCCTCGTCAGGGGCGACCCGTTGTCGTTCTTGGAACGTTCCTGAGTTGCGCTGTGCCGGGTCTCGACGCACAACAAGTTTTTCCCTACGGCCCGCATCCTGGCCTGGCCACACGCTTTGTGGGCGTCGATTGGAGGCGTTGGACGCCGGCATCCAATTCGCCACTGTTGCACACCGTGAATCGATTGGTCTCGTCCTCGGGGTGCGGCCGCATCTGGCCGGCTTTGAGTCGCAACGACTCTGGCTCCGCATCATATCTAGAAGCCGCTCGCCGCGGTGGGCGTTGGACTTTTGGATTTTGGTGTGCTCGATCGAGATGAAACAAAGCACAGGGGCTGTCCGTTGTCTGTCGAGACTAGAACGGCTGCCGGAGCTTGGATTTGGCTCCACCTGCTGCTTTGGGCGGCTCAGAGCGACGGCTCTTTGTTGCTTCGGATCGGTCGCTGAGGCTTCGTAGTTTGCTGAACGGCTCCCACCGGCAAAGCCTGTGCGCCGCAGCTTGCAGAGCTTCGCTTTTGTCTCACTGTTTTGTAGTTCTGTGCTTTGTAGTTTGTTAGTTTGCTTGTAGGGATCGAGTGCTACAGCCGTAGTCGACGAGGCCCATTCACGCCAAAAAAAAAGCTTCTTACTTGCAGCTTGTGCGTGTTGCACTAGTCGAGCTTAATGGCCTGCAGTTTGTCGAACTCCGAGTCAAGGCGGAGGTTCCAACCTCTTTGGTTGGCCAACTCCAAATCGCGATTGCTGCCCGCGTGATGGAAGGCTTTCATCGTGGACTTCCCTGCCCGCTGCGGAGATTTTGATCCGCAGATGTTTTCCTACTCCGGACTCTGTAAGAGCACGTTTCGCTTCCTGCTTCCTCTGGATGATGCCTCCCTGGGATTGTGGGCGCAGCTCGCTCTTTCCCTCCAGTCTCCTGGACTTTTGCACGCCGCATTGTGTCGTCTCCGCCGGTGCTGTGCTGGCTTCATTCTCAGAATTGCTTGCAGATGCTTTCTCTTGGAAGTCGGTGTTTCTCTGTGCGGATTGAAGATCAAAGTTGCAGACTCGAAGTCCGAGGTTTTCAACCAAGGCGAATTTTTCGGTTTATCTGGTCCACTCGCGGTCTGGTGCGTGAAGTCTCTGCATCCCTTGGCACCAAACTTCAGCTTTTCTAAGCTTTCATGCGCTCTCGGAACATACAGCTTTAAGAGCACCACTGTCTTATGCCTAAAACCTTCTCACTGCAGTCCACGCACGTGGCCAGTGTGGATGTGGACCCGCCGCAAGGCCGCTCTGTTGTCCTTGGGTCCTTACAACTGATTGGGCAGATGCGCCATCTTGACAAATGCTAAGACAAGGCTGTTGCAATCACAAGTGCGCATCCAGAGTACTTATGCGTGTTGGCCCTTGGAAGAGATGATGCATTTGACAGTCTGACCATTGCACCAGAACCCAATCTCCAAGAGTGACAAGCAGTGCAATCTGCCATGGACTCGTGCAGGGCTCGAGTTTCGCAGCAATCTGACAGCTAGTGAAAAAAGGAAGCCACGGACGTGCAAGAGGCAACACTGTGACCATGGATACAAGAGTTTTTCCACGGATGAATTGCAGAGTTTGCAATGAAGATTCATCGAACAGGAAAAAATCCTGACCCATGACTCTGGATTGTTAGAAAACGAATATTTGAAAAGCTCCCTTTGCCTATGATCAGCATTCCAAAGTGCGTGATGTTTGATTGTCCTGAAACATTGATGCAGCTTCCGGTCACAACCTTGCACTTGATGTCATTGGCCAACAGCAGAAGCCCCAAAACCGCCAAACACGTTCCTCTCTCAATCCTTAACAGGTGGTAAAGCTTGCATGCCCCGAGATTTTCCATAGTCTTTTGATTCTATACCCTTTGGAGGCACTCTTCGGAATGCCAGGCCCTTTTACCCTCCCGGCCTAAGCTAGCAGCCTAGAGTCGGGCAAAGCACCCAGGGCACGGCTTCGATATCTTGCGCCTACAGCAAAGTCTTAAAAGTTCAGTTTAGCCTTCTCAAGTGGGATACAGCAGCCGTAAAGCGGAGGTTGGGAAATCAGTTTGTCAGATGGCTCCGGTTTGCAGAGTATATGGCAAAGATTGCCCCAAAAAAGGCCAAAATGTCTGCGGGGAGATTTGTTCGTGTGCTACAACAAATCAAGCAGGTTACATAGACAACCTTCGTGCAGAACAGGCTGATGTGTCATTCTTTGATCTTCACTGCTTGCTAAGCTCTGCCTCAGAGCTAGCCGGGAAAGGTTTGGCATTGTTTTGATTGCAGCTATCTGAGTCGGAGCTCTGTGGCTCAAGTCCGTGTTGCCTTGCAGCAGATGGAGCTTGTGCAACAAGGGCGGAGCTGGTTGCAGGCAGCAGCCGTATCAGTGCGGCATGCGAAAAGTGGCATCATCTTTGGAAGAGATGTTGCAAATACATGAAGTAACGTGTAGAAATGCATGAGTTGGCTAGTGTCGGCCATCGTGTGATTGTACATGCGATTGGTGCCAGGAGGGGGAACCACCGACAGCAGTATTGCAAGAGACGGAGGACTTGTTGCAGGCATGGCCGCATCATAGACGTGCAGGTTTCAATTGATTCGCAAGTTTCAAGCCTTTGTGGTGAGGTGTTAATCATCATCATGAGTAGAAGTTGAACAGTTTAGGACAATCGGTGTCGTGGCTGTTTGATTTCGTCAATCTCGTTTTGGGTTTTCAGGAAATGCTATCAGAAGGGATGTCTTTCTCTTCGCACGATTTGCGACCTGTCTTGCACGTAACAGATTCCCCGTTGACATGCCCGTTGCTGAAAGACGTTCAGCTCCAGTGTGGAAGCCGGCCAACGCGCCTGTGTTTGGCTTGCAGCGTCGAGGGAGCCGGCCTGGCGCCCACCCGGGCACCTGCAGGGACGGCGCCCGTGCTCGGGCCTCCCCAAAACAGCGGGGCAAGGCCAAGAAATATCCATCAAAATTCAAAGTCAGCTTGTCGATTGCAGGCCTTGCTCAGCCTTGCTATATGTCTTGTCTCAATGGCGTGGGAAGCAAAGTCAGCTTTTCGAGGAGGAAGGTTTCGTAAGTAGAGTCTTTAGCGGGTTCTTGTGCCCGCAACAAATCAGACCGCGGAAACGGTACTCGTTGCCATGGACGGGCTGGCATGGCAGCGCAAAGCCGCGTCGGTCCCCACGATTGATTTAGTTGAGTGCATTGAACGATCTGGATCTTTGCTGCCCAGCTGCAGTCAAGCAGTTAGAAGCGATTTGTTGCGACCCAAGGCCTCCTCTGACATTGGAGGCATGCCTGAGAAGCCGCACATAGCGATGCAGCTCAGGGCTTGATTTTTTCTGCTCCCTGACAGGACTGGCCTGTGAGGAGCCGGTCGAGAAAAAGAATCCTCGAGAGGAGAAGCGCGGTTTCTTTTGGGCGGATTCCGCGCAAACCATTATAGGGTATTTGCAGGCTTCCGTCTTGGGTCTTCTAGGAGGCTTAGCTGTAGACGGGTCGAGTCTGGAGATTTCAACAGTTGAAGTTGGCTCCATTTTCACATCAGTGACTCAGCAAAGGATTCCCAGCGTACATCGTTTTGGCTTTTGTCCCGAATGCAGGCTTCAGGTTTCAACGGGTTGGCCTGGCCACGTTGTCGATTAATGCTGTCTCCAAACTGGTGCAAAGCCGAACATGTTTATACATGCGGGATTTTCGTGACGTGTTCGCAGTGTCGATGCTGGAGCGCCCAAAAGGTGCGTAGTTTTTGAATGTCACCGGATTTGTGTGACAGTGTCGATGTGTCCAAACTGTTGCACAACAAGCAAGTTTGGAACTGCCGAATGTTTCGTGAGAATCTCGTCCAAACTTATTCGCCCAAATCGGTGCAGAACCAAAAGATTCTCGTGACACTTTGTACGCAAAAAGGCTGCACGGCAAAATTGAGCACCACCTGCGCACGTCCTACTTGTCACATCAGTGAAAGTGGTGCAGTGCTGCGGATTGCATGTGTGCATGCATGTCTGTTCGAACGTTTCTATGTTCATATGTCTGTATTTCTGTATGTCTGTTTGTTTGACTGTCTGTCTGCCTGCCTGGCTCTGTCTGTTTGTCTGTTTGTTTGACTGTCTGTCTGCCTGCCTGGCTGGCTGTCTGTTTGTCTGTGTGTCTGTCTGTATGTCCGTCTGTCTGGCTGTCTGTCTGCTTGTCTGTCTGCACGTCAGCACACACGTCTGTACCCACGTCTTTATGTTTGTGCGTGTGTATGTCTGTATGTGTGTATGCATGTATGAACTGAATATATGTATGTCTGCATGTATGTCAATGTATGTATGAATGAATGTGCATATGCATGTACGTATGTGTTGGTTTGCGCATGCATCACATGGCTACGTTTTGACATAACATGTCACTCCATTTATAACTCGAGGATTCGTTAGTATGAAGGGTCCCTAGCAAATTCCATTTCTCGGACTCGTTTACAACTTGGAGAAGTTGTTTTTCCAGACAATCCTGCATGTGCATGCGGCCAACACCCCCTACGAAGTCTATGCGAAGTCCGTGCTGACTTAGTAGATCTTCCGATGTGGCTATGCTTCTAGAGATTCGGCTGGTGCATGAAGGAGATCATTAGCAAGACGCCTCTGACGAAGAAAGGCCAACAATTGCAAGGGTGTGTAGTTCAGCAGATGATGTAAACATGTGTTGTCTCATCGATTGTAATGTTTGCCAAGAAAGAAGTACAATATAAACATGCAAGACTGTATGTATTTTTACTCGTGTAGATGCGGCCTTGGTGAGGGGTTCTCGAAAGCACACTTAGGTTCATGTCTTCTTTCTTTAGCCTTAGCATCGGACTCAGTGAGTGTCCAACAACCGGAGAATCCTAAGCTCCTTCTTGGTAGAGGATTTGTTTCTGGTGCCCTTCTGACAAGCGTCGGGGGTTGGGAGCAGTAGATTGGGCCGATATTAGGGACAATCTGCATTCTTGAGATTCGCGAAGCGCAGCATGCAAGCCTTGCTTAGCACCTTCGACCAGGTGGCAAATCGAGCTGTGTTTCGTCAGAGTCGAAGTCACACCGAAAGAGGCGAGTCGGGTCCGGCAAGAGAGGTTGTTGTCTCTCGCAGAGACAGCCCGAGGTCCAAGGTGACTGTCCTCAAAGGCCTCCTTCCTGGTGAGGAGCCCGGGCCAATTGTCAGACCCGGGCACACATGGCAAGATTTGCTGCTAAGCGCCAAGCCAGGACTCCGTACGCTCGGCTGCCGAGCAGGCGCTGAAGCACTTTGGCAACTCCGTGGACGAGTACCGCGGCCAAAAAGGTGGTCGGTTGAGGACTTCTTCAAGGGCGTTTTGCGGAAGGGGTAGGTACAGATACTCCTCGTTTGCTTCTGGCAGACTTCTGGGTCCGCAGTTCAGATTTGTTCGGGCAGTTATACGCGTGCAGGAGAGCAGCATAGGTCCTAGGTTGCCAGTGGCCTCCGGATCGGTTGCTTGTCACCCTGCCCGTGCCATGACACGTACAGTGTCTGTTGACGAGGCCCATCCAGCTGGTAGATCTTGGCAATGCGCCTTGGTTGCTTACCACAGCCAAAACCCCAAACCCTCCTCTGCAAGCTAAAGCCCTAAGACCACTGCGGCTTCTATTGCCGAGAACACTGCCGCTGTCTAGAGGCAGAGCCTCTAGCTGCGCTCTTCTGCGCCCCTCTTGCGAAGTCATGATGACAGTGCCATATTCGCGTGTGCTTGTACCCGAGTAGCTCCTTGATTGCTCCTTTATAAGTAGTGCCCCAATGTTGGCCACAGGTGCAAAGCCAGATCCAGCTGTGGAAGAGTCTTGCTGTCTACTAGATTTTCTGGCAGGTGCTGGCAAGTGAGGGCATGTCAGATTCGAGCAGCTAAATGATCGCATACTACGGGGCTGCAGCTGCAGTTCGTGGATACAGAATGGAGAGTGAGCTGCATCATGCAGCATTCTCTTCATGGCGGCTGCTCAGGAAACATTTGCCCAATGTGCGCCCGCACTACGCAGTGAAGTGTTGCCCCAACAAGCAGGCATGCTGCTTTTGCCGTTATCTGGAATTTGTATTTTTTTCTTTTGGGGTATGTATGGAGTCCTCTCCAGTGTGTCGACATCGTCCGGTTGCTTGCACAAATTCATCCTTGCCGCGGTTTCTCTCCGTGTCGCGTCAGATCATCAAGCAGCTCCGAGACGGAGGTTGCGGCTTCGACTGCGCAACGATGCAGGAGCTGAATTTCGTCACGTGTTTGCTAGCATCACCAACAAAGGCTTCCATGGTGTAAGATTACAAAGGCAGGCCACGCACATGAGCCCTGCAGAGAACTGCGGCGGGGCATCATCGAAGCACTGCCACGGTACTCGGTATTCGTTCCAAAAACTCGCAGCTCAAGCAGGAGATCAGCACAGTTTTGGAGCTGGGTGTCACGCCGGCCGACATTGTGCATCTCAGCTGCATGTGGTGTCTGGGCCTTGGGTTCTGTGTGGCCGAAGCTGCCAAGAAGGGGAGGAGAGAGGCAAACAGAGGATGGTTGCGAGCTCGCACGAGGCGAGTTTGAGGGTGCGATAGTTGGATTGGCTGAAGCTTTTGGATGAGGGCCTCGGCAAGTCGCAACCCTCGTCAGGTTTCGATAGGGGCAGATCAAAAAAAAGCACAGCTTGCAATGTAGCCACTTCTTATCATGCAAACATGCAAGAATGCTCACGTCATCCCATTGCTCCCACTCAAAGACGGCTCTGGTTCAAGGCAACGTGAGAGGCGAGTCATTTCAATTTCCCCCCGACAGGAACATGAACATGGCTGACAGGCTGTTGACAGCGGTTTTGTGTGCTTTCGAGGTACTCCCACCCGTGCAAGCCACGATCGCACATTGCCTTCGCCAAGAGCCAAGGCCCTCCGGGCCGAAGCCTCGTAAAGCCGAGGGAGCCCTGGGTGACGGCCATAGGGGCCTAGCCACAGCTGAACTTAGGCACCTTGCCCCTGTGTTCAACATCCAGAGTCGCATCCCTCATCCGATACAACATATCTGCTGAGCCACAACTGCTCGACAATCAGCTCTCTTTCCAGTGCATAGGCCCCATTGTATAGCTCATCAGCGTGCCAGTAGGCGGATCACTCGCTTTGGTACCTGAATCGTGGAGAATATGTCCAATCTGGAAGGCATTTGCCTGATGTCCTTCGACAACGATGTGGAGTTGCGGAAGGTTCCGAATCGAATGTTTTGCTGGCAATATTGCTTGCGTGCACATGCAGACGGTGTTAGACATGCATTTGCTGGAGCATTGCTAACACCTGCTACTTGTAGCATCATGCTTTCGCGAACTGGCGCTGGGTCCTCGGAAAGGGGTCGCCGTCCGCTATCTCTCAGGTGGCCGCCGTTTATCCTGAGGCGCAGTTGCTTCTCCGTGTCGTTTGCGAGGACGCGCTTGTATAAGGGCATCAGTTGTGGCAATGGCACCCAGAAGTGCGGGTTCTGTTTGCAGAGATACACAGAAGTTTTGCATGATGTGCAGAGGTTGTTGGGAGTCAAAGCATCGTCGGAGCCCTCGTAGAAATTCGAAGCTTTTGCAGGACTCGTCGGCGCAATGCCCCATGTCACTGAAGTTTGGGGCAAAGCGCGATACGTGGGCCACGCTGCTGGACATCATCCAGGAGCTCGTGCGTGGTGAACTCCGAGAGGTCTCTGGCATCCTCTGGCTTAGGGGTCCTTCCAACAATTATCGCTCACGTCCTCCAGAGTCTGGTTCCCAGCAGGAGCTCCAGCTCAACCTTGCCGGGGTGTGGTGGCCTCATCTGCTCCGTTTGCAGAGCTGAGTAGAAGCATTGCAGACAAAGGTCTTTCCATGTGGGCTCTGGTGACTTGGCTTTCTTTGAGTGGCAGAACTCTGTTACACACGGAATCTAAACGACTGGAGAACCCCTTAATTTCCCTCTCCCGAAGGCTGCAAGGACCCGGAAACCTTCGAGCCAGCCCTGGCGGATGCCAGAGAGGTCTTCCGCAGCTCGGCTTCCGACGAAGGGAATTCCTACTCCCCGACTCCAGATGTCGATACGTCGTTCGCGGGGTGAGCTTTCTCGTATGTTTCATGGTATGTTGTGTTCTAGTGACGGTTACTTTATGCTTTATAATTGTATCATAGGGTGTATGTTCGACGAAGTGCCGAGTGAGCTGGCACGCTGCACCATTGCCGGTACTGCTGAGGAATGGCTTCCGAGCGCGGCATGAAGGTGGTCTGTCAGGAGCCCGTGTCCTGTCCATTGCGGCATTTGCCAGGCCTTGCGAGTCCTGGATATCGGTGGAGGCTACCCTGGCGACCGGGCGGGTTATGAAGAGACTCTTGTCAGGCATTGGGTTCAGCTATTTTCCAGATATGAATTCAATGGCTGTTCGCTGTCCACGGTACTTGTCCTGTTGCAACGTTGCATTACGCTGTCGGCGGCGGCCAGTGCAACGTTCCCGCTTGTTCCTGGCAGTTAGAGCAGTAGGTTTCCTCTCCCTCTGTAGGTAGCATCGTGGAGGCCTGTGTATCCTTTAGGGAGTGCTCGTACGAGAGATGCGATCGAGAAGTTCTTGCAATCCTGACATCCGCCACCTACGGCCTACGGCAACATGACGACACTGCACAATTGAAAGATTGACTGCATACTTTCTCTCTCATGGTCGCCCTAGTCTTGCTGAGTCCCAAGGATCGCACCGGTCATTGCAGAGAAGCTGGGGCGGCTGTTCCCAGAAAGCGAGTTCCCAGAGGCGAGTGGTCACAGAGATCCACAAAATCCAAACCTTCAGATCGAAGCCTGTTCCAGTTGGAAGCATAACCGGTCTTGCCGGTGCCCCTGTGCTCGTGCTTACGTTTTGGGTCCCTGCGTTTGTAGTTGCAAGCATTGCCAGTGCTCGGGGGACACATGAGCCCGAAAATTTGAGCCTAATGCCGCCTTGCAGCTCACACGCATCGCGGAGCCTGGTCGCTTCTTTGCAGCCAACAGCGGGCACCTGCTCACGCCACCTGGGCCAGAAATCTTGGAACGTGGGCTTACAGACCGGCTGCTTCAAGATCTCCCAGGTTCACTGGTGTTGAATCCTGGTCTTCCTTCCTGCTCTAACCACTCATCGTGTTCTTTGCCTTGGTACCTCTCGCCTCCATCAGCTGTGATGTTTGTGTTACGTGCAGAGTGTTGTTTAGCTTGCCGTCTGTGGTTTCAGAATCTGTTCTGAGTCCTGAGTTTTGTCCAGGATATCAAGATATCTGGTACATCTGTGATTCGGCTCCAGGGAATCAATCGAAGCCGATGGGGATCGCGGCACGTGCGGTTCACGAGCATCAGTCTTTTGGTCATACTTTTGGACCTGTTGGATACTGTGAATCGTGGTGCCTAAGCGCATGGGATAGGCATTGCCCAGTGGTACATGTCGTGGATGTGTATTGATTCTCCAGACGGGCATTGGCAGCTTCAAGCGTCCAGGAAGGTCTATGCCAAAGCAAAGTTGCCGGCGACCGATGGAAGCGGAGAGCAGGTCTGCCGTAGCACGGCGGCAGAGTCAGGAGTGCTTCTGCTTTGAACCATCAGAGGATGTGCTGATGACATTCGTTTGTTGTCCTCATGGGGCTCTTTCCAAACGCTTCGAAGCGAAAAACGCCTCTCTGCTTAGCAAAGGCTACTACTTGAATGATGGGCGCTGAGCTCAGACAGATGGTCTTCAGAAGAATCTTGTGCCTTCCCTGAGAGTGAAGCAGCGATTTGACTCTTCACGGCCGCTAGTCTGAAAGCACGACTGCTTGCCCAAATCTCACTCTGGGTCCTGCGCTTGTCTCCTTGCGGCTCTTCTCCATAGCGAGACTTGCTCGAGAAGCCTGTCGGACGCAGTGTTTGCGTGATCGGCGCAGTCCGCGAGTACCGAGAGTTGTTCAATTCAGTTCCGTACAATTTCAGATCCATTCTCCGTCGTCCATAAGGCTGTACGGCTCTTTCAACTGCATCATCTACGACCACGTCGAGGTGCGTCCTGAACCAATCCGACGCGTGGACGGGGATGAGGCGCGGGGCAGGAGCTTTGCGCAATGTTCTTTCCCAACAACAGCCGTGGATTCTGCCGGTTCCACAGCCTGCATTGCGACCATGTGTCAACATCATGTTCAACACAGACGCATAAGCTCGTGCATATATATATATATATATATATATATATATATATATATGTAGAGCGCATATGTATCACATGTATATGTACATGCTTGCGTATCCGTATACGTATGCGTGTACGACGTAACGCGTATGTGTGTATGTATATGTCTATGTGTATGTGCATGTGTATATGCATATGCATACGCATACGTTTGGACATATTTCTGTATATATCTATCGATCCATGAATCTATATATCTGTGTGTCTATATGTATATATATATATATATGTATACCTGTACACCTGTATACCTGTATATATGTAGATATATATATATATATATATACACATACACACGCATCCATATCTCTATAACTCTATGTCTCTGTGTCCCTATGTCTCTATGGCTCTATGATGCTCTATGCTTCTGTATTTACATTTCTCGATCTCTCTATCTTTCTACCTCCTTATGTCTTTCTGGACATACCTATATTCTTATCCACATTACAGCTGCGTCTACATCTATCTCTTTGTCTATGTCTATGTATCTAAATCTATATCATTGTTCAGCTCATTGCTTCGGGCAGGCTTGGTGAGCTGTAATCATTCCTGAATGCACTTTGGCTTGTGTTTGCGGCATGTTGGCGCATTTGAGCTTGACGAGTGAACAAGTTGCATTGCCACTGCCATTTCCCACTCAAGCCAAAATTGCGAAAAGAACACCCTCCATGAAATTGAGATTTGTGTGTCAGGAGTCCATTTTCTTCCCCACCCTTCCCTCCCCAGTGAAGGGCTCTGCCCTCCATACAAATTTCCTCAGCAGTCTCGAGTTGAGGATGCCAGCGCATTTTGGGCTTTCCCCCATGAAAGGAAAAAGGATCCGAGTGCATTGCGCGAGTGCATAAGCTAAACATACACATATAGTACGTACTAAGATCATATCTATATCTATATTTCTTTCTATATCCGCATCTTTATCCATATCTACATATACATGTATCTATATGTTTTTATATCTATATCCGTAGCTAAATCCAAATCCCTATCTGTATCCATATCTATGTCTATATCTAGATCTACATCGATGTCTACGTTTATACCTATATCTTTTGATACATTGTCGCCTTCATCTATGTACGTACATATGCATATATTTATATTTATCTTTGTACACCTGTTATATACATATATATATACACACCCGTTTCTATGTATATGTAGATGCATGTATATTTGTGGTGTATATGTTCATGCATGTGTCTACGCATTTAAGTCGTGGTTATGCCATTTACATATCTACCCATATGTATGTATGTATGTATATATATATATATATGTACATACATATATGTACATACGTATGTCTGCGCACTTCTATGTGCCAAGCCGGTTCCAACCACATAAGACGCCCGTTCATTCCAAAGAGCCAGGTTCCCTGCGCCCTCTTTGGCCCGACTTGTGACGGTTTCGAGCCCGAATTTGGGAATCAGGGAGTTGCAGGTTGGAAGTTTCGGGAAGTTTCGTTTGAAAGTGTTCGCAATCGACTTGTGCAAAAGCTGGTTTCGAGGACGGCAGTTGCTTCAGTCTTACGGGTGTTTGCTTGATGTTGCCGGTCCCGGGCAGAAGCTCTTCTCGGACTGCATGGTGCTTCTGGCAGTCCTGAGTCTGACTCAAAACCAAGAAACAACTGCAAATATGTGCCCATACTGAGGGTTCGATGTCGTCCTCGAGAAGCATCGTATGCCAGAGCTCGAGGACAGGGCTATTCATCTGGCAGATTGCTCATAAGGAGGTCGGGGCACATTGTTGTCCAGCATCTTTTGCGTGAAGTTTCCAAAGCCTTGCATCTCTTGCAGGAGGGCGATTGGATATTGTGGCGCAACATGGGGGCCTACACATCAGCAGTGTCCTGTCTTTGACTTGTGGCATCCGTCTCTGCACTGTCTGACTTTCGGCAATGTGGGGCTTGCAGGGATTAGGATAGGTCGATAGGCGCCGGCCGATAGCTTCAACTGAAAGCCAATGCAGTCGCACTGAAGCCCAGGCCGGGTGCAACTTCAACGGATTTCCACTGGCGCTTTCGTGGTACTACCGTGCCCCGCCCTGCTTGTAGCTTCGCCTTTCTTCCACCTCGACGTTTCGTGTGCAGTTCCTGAGCCCGAACTAGAAGTCTAAGCTCAAAAGTGACAACCATGAGCCAGAAGTGAAAGGAACATGTATGCCTTGCGGCACCTGCAGCCCCAGTAGAGGCATACCTACAAGCAGCCCTATATGGAAACCGTCGTTTTGGATAGTCCGGCGTGTCGACGAGAACTGTAACTTGGTGATGGGTGGCATGCTGTCGGTCCAATTTGGAGTGTTCGACATGTGGTCAGCAGCCGGCAGCCCGGAGGAGCACAGAGCACGAGCCTGGAACAGAAGTGAAATATGCTTGACTGGAACTTTGCAAGGGTGTTCGACGCTGCAGGTCTAATTCGCCCCCGTCGTCACAATGTGTTTCGCGGTTTCATGTTGGACTGTAATGCATAGGTCCAAGAGACATATTATCGAGATTGTTGGGGTTGCTGCAGTGAGAGAAGTGCAACAGAGACCTGACAATGTACTGTGCAGTACGGCAGAGTTCTGTACAGGTAAGGTGCAGCACGGCATGTTAGGTATTGTACGGTGCAGTATAGCCCAGTGTAGCATCGAGTAGCATAGCATGGGCACTGGGAAGAATAAGACAGTTCAGTATAGTATAGTATGACAGTGGAGGATAGCAGGATAGTATAGGGTCGTACAGGATAGTACAGGCGAGTAGAGTAGGGGAGAGTAGAGTGTAGAAAGTATATTATGTACGGCAAGGTATAGTGTAGCATAGTACAGCATGGTATGGCATGATATAGTGTCTTGCAAAAGAGAATCGAAAGTACATGGCATATAGTACATTGTACGTCGCATATAGTAATATAGTATGTAGTATTTAGTTCATATTGCAAAGAGTATGTACGTATTAACATATGTGTATATATATATATACATACACAGGTGTATATATAGAAATATCAATTTGTATATACAGGAAACAGTAGTATTTAGTATATAGTACAGGGTATATAGTATTTGGCATGTAGTATACGGTAGTTGGTATGTAATATATTGTGTATGGCATTTGTGAACATAGTGTATGGCATATAGTATATAGTTGGACATAATGCAAAATATGCTATATAATATACAGTTTCAAGCATGAGGTGCAAAGTATAACACATGATATAGTGTATCGTATGGATTAGCACAGCACCGGATAGGACAGGGTGGGATGGGATGGGATAGGAAGGTGAGCTGATGCTGATGATGCTGGCTGCTTGGGGCGGAGGAACTGATGCTGATGATGCTGGGTGCTGAGGGTTGCCTCGTGAAGGGTGGGGCTGGCTCGTAAAGCAGTGGGGGAGCTGATGCTGATGATGCTGGGTGCTGAGGCTTGCCTCATGAAGGGGGGGCAAAGGCGCTGGCTGCCTGGGGCTGGCTCGTAAAGGGGTGGAGGAACTGATGCTGATGATGCTGGGTGTTGAGGGTTCCCTCGCGCGGGGTGGGGAGCTGGGATGTTGGCTGCCTCGGGCTGGGTTGTGCCAGCATGCGGGGGAGCTGATACTGATGATGCTGGCTTCTGGGGCCAGACCTGTTGGAGCTGATCCAAAAGGGTGGGAGGGAGATGAGGGAGGCTCACTTGTTCAACATGGCAGTCGGCCCAATTTTCCTCTTCATGCCTCAGTTCACGAACCGAAGCTTAAGTGTTTAACTCAGTTTTCAAATTTAGGGGTTCGGGTTTGAGGTGAGGGACGGTCTCGGTTGACGTGCCGCGATTTGATGCATTGGCAATCGCCCGCAGCCTGACAACCAGGAGGGCGAAGGTCTAGCATTTAACGACCCCATGACTCTCTGAGCTGTGCACTCCAAACACTTTTGCGCTGGACACTACAATCGAGTGGCACCTGGCCTTCGCCTACATTGGAGGACTCAGAGTGCTGGAGAATTACACTGTCAGATGCATGATCTGGAAATGCTGCGTGTATCGTGAGCATCTGAAGCAAGAACTGACCGTTGACATGCCTACTGCCGCAATGACGCTTCGGTAGCTTCAGATTCAGCACTGTTGCATCCGGTCACAACCACTAGTTTTTGTGGTACCTGAGCAACCGAACAGCTGCGAGCTGGACGGGGGTTGCTTGGATTCACCGGCCATATCCCAGCCCGCCCCGTTACAGACGAATCGGGATTTCGCACAACGTCAATCACACACATAAAGCGAATCATCGCACTAGCAATCGCAGCAGCACAAGCACGACTCAGGGCAGCACACACATAGCATACTCCATCCCTACAGGGATCGCCGCAGCGGTAGCAAGACTCAGGGCAGCACACAAGATACTCATTGCAAGCGTCATCACTACACATGCAACATCAGAACAAGTACTTGCCAAGAACCTTGCAAATGTTTGATTTTTTCACCGAAAATAAAAGCCCGAAGTTTACTGGCTGACACCTGGTGTGTCGGCTATTGGTGCTGCTAAAGGCCGCCGCTTCCTCGGAAGCCCTACCCATCGTCTTCTTGGTTGATGTCGTACAAGGGCTTTTGTATAGCGTCTTGCGCAAGCAGGCCTATGTGCAACCGGGCAGTGGGGATGGGTAGCGTGGGGGACGGCAAGTCCCATGCACCGTGCGCGCGCGCAAAGTGTAGCACCGTGTAGTATAGTGTAGTATAGTGTGGTTTTAGTGTAGTATAGTGTATAGTATAGTGTACAGTATAGTGTATTTTTTGTGCATAGTTTAGAATACTACAGCATATCACAGCAGAGCATAGCATAGCATAAGACAACATAGCCTAGCATAGCACAGGATAGGATAGCACAGCATAGGCTAGGATAGGAAAGGATATTTTCGCCGGGTAGAGAATAGAGTAGAATCGATAGTATGGTATGGTTTGGTATGGTACGGTACGTAATTCTATGGATGGTGTAGTCTTGACTAGTGCCTAAAGAAAGCGACATTAAATGCGGGTGGCTGGTTTCATATTGCCGGTCGCAGATTTGAATGCGTGCGCCTTTACCCTTTGGGGCAACTTCAAGCCTTGCAGACGCAAGGGGACTCCTTGGCGAAAGCCTTGCCAGGCCTCCCAGCGTACGATGCAGACCGTGTGAGCGGTGGCTCGGAAGCATGATGATTATCTACAAGCTTGCGAAAGAGAGGTAGATATGCATATGTACATGCATACATGTAAACATGTACTAATATGTATATGTGCATAAGCATATGCATGTGCATATGTCTATGTTTGTGTGTACGTGTATGTGTATGTGTACATGTACGTGTATCTGTACGTGTACGTGCAAGATCGTGTATGTGTATGTGTACGTGTATGTGCGTGTATGTATGAATGTATGAATGTATGAACCTATGAATGTATGAATGTATGAATGTATGAGTATGAACGTATGAATGTATGGTGTGGTATGGTGTGGTATGGGTATATATGTATGTATGTATGTTCGTACGGACATACTGCTGAGGTGGACTGCAATTGCATCCAATCTTTGCATCAGGATGTGGTGGGAACTCGAGAGTTAGAGCTTTTTCACGTGCTGCAGAGCCGTGAGCTCGGATCCAGGTGGAGTCAAACATGAGCCTTCCAATATGAGATCCCGGAGTCGGGAAGTCGGGTTAGGGCCCCTGCAGTTGAAATCCCTGTTCGCTGGAGCCTTGCAGGTGGATACCACTGACGGCAGGCAGGTGTCGCAAGGGTGCGTGGGAATGACACATCTTTTGTTTAAGTGTGGGTTCCTGCTATCACTAACATGGAGCGGTTCAGACATCAGGGCTTCCTTGATCCCGAGCTTAGAGTCGGAATCTGGTCTGACGCCAGGCACGGCTCGGTCCCGCCGTGAACGACTGGCTCACGTTTGGGTCGCCATGGAGGGTGCTGCTCAGATGTAAAGCTGGAGCTGAAGGTTTCAACTTCCGTGTCAGATCTTGAGCTCCAGCCTCCTGAGCAACTTGGACCGGGCCAAATTCCTTAAGATTTAACGATCTCTCGCCTGTGGGTTGGACCTGAGATGCGTCGATGTTAAGGCAAAGCTTCAGACCAACAGCTCCTGTCCCATTCGCTTACATTTCTGTGTACAGATGTGAGACATGAGATCTCAGCAACACAGGCCAATAAAACCCATGCTGGTACCGCCCTTCTGAAGAAAGGGGTTCCGAGTGCTCGAAAGGACGCAGCAAGCCGTCGAGATAGCATCTCTTGCAAGGGCGTTGCCGTCACAGTTGTGTCCAATGTCTCGGAATCACAGTAGCATCTCTCGTTTGGTTTTTGTTTCTCTGGTGCGATGCATGGCACGCCCCCGGTGGCGAGAATGAGGTGTGCTTTACATGCTCCCGGAAATTGCAAGTCTCAGAACCGTCAGCGGAGGGTTGACTCACTGGAGCAGCTCTTGCGCATCACCTCAAGTCGCAGCATGTCGCGTCCGATTTTGCATCGTTTTTTTGCTGGATCCCATGCCCAATTGGAGTACCTGCAAGGGCTTGAGGGGATTGGAGTCCCAACATCTCAGAGATAGGGATACACCTATGTTTAGTCTAGCTGCTAGGCGAACTCGATGGATTTCATTTGACATCGTTTGATCTCGTATTCAGGGACCTTGATGTTCAGTCAGTCCTACTATGTCCTACTGCAGACGAGTCGTAGGTGTCTGGAGATCCCGATGGGTTTTTTTCGTGGTTGACGTTGGTTGGATGCAGCCTTCCTGCCTCGAAGACCAGTGCACAACAGGACATGGGGTCCAGGACTTGCTATTGTAGGGTTCACAGCCCCTTCCGTTGCGATTGGGCAATTCTTCATGGCTCAGCTGTGTGGCTAAAGTTGCCCGGGCTCAGAATAATATGTAGACTGCAGTATGAAAAACCGCACTGTGAGCAGGTGGATTGAAGATTCCAAAGAAAAGAATCAGCTGGCTGTGACTTCTCCATTTTCCAGAAGCACGAGTAAGTCCTGCTGCCGGAAGCTGTGTTGGGCCGGCGGGGCCCAGTAAACACGAAGGCTTCCGTCGTCGGGCCTGGCAATACCTGCTTGGGTCTTCCCAGTTCAAAGGGAAGTCTCCAGGAGAAGCCCCAAAGCTGCTCGAGCCGGAGAGGGGAAGTATTGCATAGCAGCACTAGTCCATCTTGCTCACTTCTTACATTGATTCTTGCATGCTGTATGACAGAACTCCAGCCGCAGACCCTCGAACCCACCGAAATCGGCCCTCGAGCTGTACAGCCACACCGCACCCGGCGGGGACGAAAATTGCGAGTGTGCAGACTCCGTAGCCCTGAGCCCTGCTGCTTGGTGCTCGACTACACAGCTTGCCTTCGTGGTTTATGAATGTTTGGGGTTTAGGGTTAAACTGTGAGTCCTGATCCCTTGAAAATCCTGAACTGCCGCAGTCGGCCTCGGACAATCGGAGCAAAGCTGCGTGGAAGCTCGTGGCCGCAGAGGCGGGGCGGAGGGTCTCTAAACCTTCATGCCGACAGGGTTTTAGCAAACGTAAATCTGATTGACATATAGTAAGTATATATATATACACACAGATATTCTGCTTAGCGTCATTCGGCATGTGTTAGCACTCTGACCTGCTACGCTGCAGCACACGATGATGGAACACCTGAGATGTTGCATGGATGCATTGGCATTGGAAGCCTTCTGGACAGACCATGATTGGGTTTGGCATCATGCGATGCATGTCGGACTACTCATTCGTAAGGTGAGGGGACACAGCGAACCCTGTCCCCCACGCCCAGACCATGCATCCAGCACCAAGAACCCTGGGAGGCTACGTGGGCCCTCTGGCCCACATTGCCAGCTAAGATTTCTCAGGCACACACCAGGTACAAGGAGCACAGTACCCAGAAGTAGCGACGAATATCGTAAAAGCGACTGTAGCGGCAGCTATTGCATTCTAGTCTTGTGCGGCATATGGTAAAGAATCGAGTCCATTGCAGAATCTTGCAGAATATGGCACTGGAGCAAATTTTATTAGGTGAAAGCCTTTCGCACTCTAACAAGTTTCCGTATATCGTGCTTGCTGCCGTATCTCCAGCGACCGATAGCATCTTAGATTTCACAGAGTTTTCTGCTATATTGCTCAGTAACGGAAACCATGCATGCTTGCTGGTGATGTGCCATGTGCGAGGTAGGCAGGGCACACAGCATAGGTCTTAGGTTACGGTTTGCACACAAATGTCGTTTCGAGGATTTGCTGCCCTTTTGGGGGGGCTGAGTGCAGGCGCAGCTTCGTGTTGGCGATGCAGTGGAGGCCATTCAGAGTGCCTCGCAGGCGGGTGGATCTTGGAGGGGCTTGCAGTGAACTTGCATGAAAGGTTGTCTGGTGTTGACGGCCGAGAACACAACTATGCCAGCATATCATGGACACCATACTTCTGACAGCTTTGACTTTTAGACTGTGCTGCTGCATTGCTGGAGCAGGTGATATGTCAGGGTCGAAAACTGCAAATTCTCTTCTTCAGCAAACGGACAGGCTCATGCAGACCGAGACGGTGTATGTACTTGCTTCTTGTCCGGGCTTCGGTGTTGAGTGGTGCAGGCAATGGTTCTTTTCGAGCAATTGAAGCTTCGCGAGGAGCAGGCACGGGCCGTAACTCTGCAATGATGGATTGACGCTTGTTTAGGAATGCAACAAGACTGGCTGTGCCTGCTGCAATTGCATCGAGGATGTCGGCGATCATACAAGTTCTCGGGAGCTTTTGGCATATAGATCTTGATTCAGCAGCTTCCTTCCGCTACGTAGGCTTAGCCCACGCCTGAAGTTGTTCCAAAGCCTTATGAGGAGGTGGAATTTTAGACACTCTGGCCTGCGGATCCCGACGACGGGGGACGGGGGACCGAGGCGAACTGAGGGTCTCGGAGGCTCCCTGAAACCTTGAAGTCCTATGCAAAGGTCAAAGCCCAAGCCCAACAACGAAAATGCACTGCTGGCTCAGATGGCGGCCTCTGCAGCCCTCATCGATGCCTTGGTTCTGAAGCAGGCATGGGATGTATGGCACAACCTGCGTGCAAGTTTGTCCAATCTCCAATCTTCTGATCCGCCTTGGCGTTGTGTGTATGTGTGTGTTTGTTTTCCCTTCTGCTCTTAGTTTTTGTTCTCCGTCCTCGCTATTCGATACGGGAGCCGCCCGAGTCACATCAAAGGAGCCCTCCTTGCTCTCTTTAAGCCACGGGCGTAGTCTGAATCAGCAATGACAGGAGGGGAGAACAGTCTCTGAATCTATCCGACCAAGCCATATTGCAAGCGTTTGGGGCTGAGCTTCGTATCCAAAGTGGATGCACCGAGTGGCAAAGCCACAAGCCGGAGGTGGCCTCCAGTGCCACAATGAACAAAGTCTCATTCGGAATGACTGCATACCAAAAATTCAAGCGCAGAGGCTTAAACCCCTAGCAGAGCAGTTTCAGTCGAGTTTTTCGCATCATGGAACTAGGTTTCCGAGTCGAGTCAACGAAACCTGTTTTTCCCTTCTTGCCTCGGTCGTTGAACTGGCATCAATCGTTCACAGACTCGGTCGCCGACCTGACGATGCGAGAGACGGTCACGGATGCAGTTGCGAAGATTCCACTCGGTCAATCCGCAGGATGGAGCTGCGGCCGCTGATGCAGCAGAATCGGCGGCAGCAGCCTGTCGTGAGGCCGACGACGTGGCCGGCGAGGTGCGGACAGGGGCAAGGAGTCAGCGGAGAGATTCAGAATACTGTAACTCTGTGTCTAGATATCTGGGGTATTGGCACTAGCACTCGTCCCCCTCGTCGTCCGGCTTCGTGGTGCAGACGCAGTTAAGTTAAGTGCGTAGAAGTAGATTGAGCAATGGTGAAAAAAGGCATGGGATTCTGAAGATATTTTCGTGTGCGCTTTGATATTGGCCAGTGAGAAGACACTCAAGTCTGCCGAGGGGATTCGCAACGACTTGCTCACCAGCACACAGTGTGTGCTGAACTGGGATAGTTAGATTCAGCCCGGCTGGCACTTCTTGCTGTGCTGACTTTACTTCCGTCAATAGCAAACACACGGCTGAAAGCAAACTCGAAAGCTGATGACAATGGGCTCTCTTGGACGTTGAGGCCGCAATGCTGCTCCGAAAGTCCGAGGCATTGTTAGCCGCCATGCAGGACGCCTGTTCATCGGGGTTAAGGCTGAATGCCAGGCCCGGCTAAGTCCTGCTCTCCCAAAGCTGCAGGGGGATACCATTCAACAGGATTTTTCGGTGTTTGGATGCAGCCACCTCGATGTGCGCGATCTGCCCAGCAGCCAGTAAGCACGGCATGCGATGCTGCAAGCATCAGTGTTTCCTGTTCGACTTTGTATTCTCTAGGGCTGACAGATGTTAACAGCGATCGACGGTGCGAAACGGGCAGAGATTCTCGACCAGCCAGACGGTTTCGTTCTGTTTACTTAAACTCTGCTCAACTTGAGGCACACGGTTTGTGATCCGTTCGGTGAGCCTAAAATGGAGATTTGCGATTTAGAACTTTTTCGATGCTCATATTTCCGTCTATCATAAGTAGACGATGTCCGGCCCAACTCAAGCTTGCTCGTCAAGGATCCTTACACGGCTGCGGAGACGGCCATCTCTGCGTGCCTTCTCTTCCGAAGAGTCCGAAGCTTGAGTTCAGTTTGCCCTTGGTTGAAAGGTGAGAGGCCAGGTCTCTTTCATGCCCTTTGGACGCTCCGTAAGTCATTGTTAAAGAATAAGTCTCTTGGACTCAAAGCTTCTCAGTTCCTGTCTCCAATCATGCTGGTTTCAGCGAGTTTACTGTTCTGCCACTACTATGATTCATCTTGCAGCATTCTTGTTGCATCTGACAAATGTTAATATAAAGACGACAACAGAAACAGCAGCAGCAAGAGTAGCAGTGGTTTTATAGTAGTTGTAGTAGTAGTAGTAGTAGCAGCAGGAGTAGTAGTAGTAGTAGTAGTAGTAGTAGTAGTAGTAGTCGTGGTGGTGGTGGTGGTGGTAGTGGTAGTGGTAGTGGTAGTGGTAGTAGTGGTAGCAGTAGTAGTAGCAGTAGTAGGTAGCAGTAGTAGTAGCAGTAGTAGCATCAGTAGCAGCAGCAGAAGCAGCAGAAACAGCAGTGGTAGCAGTAGCAGTAGCAGGAGCAGGTAGCAGGTAGCAGTAGCGGTAGCAGCAGAAGCTGAGACATGTACGTGCTAACAACCGGAAATCCCAATCAGCCGGAACAAGCTTCCCAACAGCAACAAACCAGTCTAACCACCCCGTTTCATCATCTTTGTCGTCATCCAGATCATCAGGATCATCAGCATGAATCATACTTCTTCTTGTTCTCGCTCTCGTCATCGAAAGCTTGAGGCCGGAGATGCGTGCGGGGATGCTTCAGCATTGGAGGCCATCCACTCCGTTTTACCACTTTGTGGAGTGCAGTAAGACCTAGGAAGTACTTGACTGTCTTCTTCCACAGTGTGTTTTTTTAGCTTCGGCTGTAGCTGCGTGATGTTTTCGGAAGCAGCAGTGAGAGATCGTGGGAGGATAGTGAGGTGGATACGGCGTGGAGTCTTCAAGCTGCAACAAACTGTCCTGGCATCTTTCGCCTAAGCCCGAAACAGATATGTACTTGAGGCCCTCTCAGAGAGAAACTGGCTCAGTTGACTCGCAGAACCCAAATCGTCCCTGTGACGACGCTCTTTGGTCTGGGGGCCAGCATCGGGGGAGTCCTACTCCGGAGGCTGCTGCCCTAGCTGCCGCTTCTCCATGCGTGCTTCTCTCTTTCTCCGGTTGGATTGAAACCAAGATGTTGGGATGTGTCTTGTCGAGCCTGAAGCGGACGTGCTCTCGACTTCTTGCCGTCGTCGCTACGGTCTGCAGCACCTTTCCTGTTTGCAGAGCTGGGCTTCGTCTTGGAACATAAAAGCGCAAACACAAAGGACGGCACCCTAAACTACGTGCGGTTCGAAGTTCGGGACGCTCTGGCGGCTAGCCCAAGACACGGGGTCGCTTGATGCTCTTAATACCCGATCGTTAGGCGGGTTATGGCGGGTTGTAGGATGGTGAGAAGCAGCAGCTGACATGTTTGTTCTGCCAGGCAGCTGCCCGTGCTCACCTCCTCTATGATCCTGAGCAGGCGATCAAGGTCTCGCGAACAGGGGGCGAGGGGGTTTGTGAGTTGTGTGCATGTGTGTGCTCCTCATTTATAGGCAGATGCAATCAGGTTTGCGAAGTTGCAGCGTTCCACACCACGAAGTCTCAGACTGGCTGTTGCGATGACTGCACTACCTGGAACGATCAGGCAGCAAAGGAGGCCTTGGCCATCGCTTCAGCTGCCGGCGACATCAGCGTCCGTCGCTCAGGACTGCGTCGTCTGGAAACTGACGCTACCACTAAAGTCAGGCCCATCATGGCACCACCTCACCTCGTGAGTCACTTAAAAAGATGTTGCAGCCACAGGACCCCATCCTGGCAAAATCAACCCGAGATCCTCACCTTCATCAGAACAGCAACCTAGTGCATCCTGGCACCGTTCCAGGATACTTCGATGCACTTGACAGCCAGGAAATTGGATTTCCTGCGAGTCAACCCCTCAAGCTCTTAAACCTTGTTTTGAAAACTCAAAATTGTATTGACGGTTGCTGCCAGACCAACGGAATCAATGATCTGCTTTCATGAAGCAAGTGGTTGAAGGAAGGTGCCATGTGCATCGGAGGGTCTTTGCGGTAAACAGATCACGAGTCATCCTGTTTTAGTTTGCCGGATTTTCCAAACTCTAATCTTTCCATCCCGGCCCAAAACCCTCGTTCGATCCTAAACCCTGAACCCAACTCGAAGCGACCGAGGCCCTGCCGCGCATCGAGCGGAGCATGATCGCCGCTAAGGCTCAGGTCGCCACGGCGCAGCAGGCCGAGCAGGCTCGCACCAGCTACTAGGGTTACCTTAGGCCTTTAAGCAAGCTAGCGGCCTGTGGAAAGGGTTCCTGTCATTGTTGTCGGAGGTCTGGTCTTCTTCGTCCTTTGTTGCTTATGTTGCTCATCGCTTTTGACTTTTCCACGAGTGATCGCAGCACGCACGCACGCGCATTGGTTTCGGACACGAGGCTTAGGAGAAGCCCGATGGGCTCGCGTCTCCTCCTCGCTTCGCTTCGGAGGCCAAGGCTTTGAGCTGCCGGGGCCAGGCAGCGCCGGCCTACAAGCACGAGCCCCAGAGCGAAACGGAGAGAAGCACGTCTCAGAGGTCTCGAAGTTTGAGCCTCCGAGCTTTTTCGATTCAGAAGTGATTCAGATATCTTCGTTTCGGTTTCGGGTCTTGTCAGGATGTGCCAAGGCCCTCTGTCTTCACCTTTCACTGCTTGGTCGGAGGTGGCCCAAGGTGCTGCAGCTGCGAGCGCCTGCTGTGGGGCTCCTGGAGCCATCGATTTTCGACCCTCCCCACGTCTGACCTGCAAGCCTCTCAAGTCCATTGCAGATCATTGCAGTCGGGTTGCTTTGAAAGTGGCTCTGGCTTCGGAGGATTGTTGCTTCGCACGTTCAGGAGCTTTTCGGTGGGATTTGGGTCTTCGCTGCTCGATAGTTGGAGACTCCCAATATGGTGGCCTTCATATATATATATAGATATAGATATATATATATATATAAGTATATAGATGTAGTACAGGGTTTTGGGCAGATTATACGATACTTTACGATATGAGCCCAAATTAAACTCGCCTTCTCCGAGGCTCCGGATGTGTTTGCCATGCAGGCCCAGCCCGGTTTTGGGGAGTGGGATGAAACTTCCATTATTAGTATTATTACTAGTATTAGTATTATGACTATGATGGTTCTTATAATTACCACTATCATTATGAGCATATAACTATGCTATGATATACGCAGGTGCTATAAAAAGACATGCGATAAGATACTACAACATGCGGCTCCAATACTATGGTATTTTATCAGGAATCTCTTTTTGTTACCATCGATCAGATAGCGAGCTGTATACTATTCACACTCCCACAGGAGCGGCCACGCGCAGAGGGCGGCTCGCAACTTGCTCTACGTGGTGCCTCCACGGTGGTCGCCGGCAAAGTTCTGCTTCGGGGTTGGGGGGTTTGCCACAAGGGCGACTGCGGGGACTCAATGGGGTTCCATAAGGCTTACTACAATTTCTGCAAGTTTACTTGAGGGCTTTGGAGTTTGGACTTCAAGAGTCTAGGGTGTGGAGATCTCGGGTTTCAGAGTTCAGGGCTTTGTTTTGCGCCTAAGTATGACCTCCTTGGCTGTCAGAGCGAGGCTTTTCTTATGATAAGCGCCCGGATCGAACTTGGCAAGTTCACAGCTCCGTGCAGTAGGTTGCTTGATGAGACGGTGTACTGCAACTGCATTGAGATCCGCAGCAGCCAGGGGCCTGCCGGAGCGGCCAAGATTGACACGAAGGCCGGGCACAACTCTGCAGTTCGGTAGAAGGCCCCTGGCCGCCCTGGCTGCCCTGGCCCCTGCTCCAGCCATCCAGCCTTCCCCTTGGCAGCCCGCCGTGGCCTTCACGCGGAAGCCGTTCAAGTGGAACCCTGGCTACCACAAGACGGACGAGGCCTGGGGCTTATATGGGTGAGATTCCCTTGTGGTTATGTACTCCAGAGCAACGGAGAGCCGATCGCCGCATCTTGCGCTCATCTCCAAGCACGAAGACCCTGAAGATCTAAACGGCTGGCACCACGTCGAAGCGGTGCATATCTTGCAGGCGTGGTACCGCCAGGAGCTGACGTACCTGCCACCCACAATCTCTGGAGAGTGAGGCCGGCGGCCCATGGCCTTAGTTTGTAGCTGAAGGAAATACTGATGTCTCGAATGTAATGAGGACAGCCAGCGTATAAGAGAGTACAGCGACAAAACAGAAACGGACAGCACATTAAAGCGCCGCGTTTTGGCCCCCAAGTCCCGACTCGACCTTAATCATGTCAGCCCCGACAGGTCTCGCGCAACAAAGCCCGAAGGAAAAGGGAGGGGCTGGATGAGTGGCTGAAATCCGGCGCTGCCGTCGTGGTCCAGTGTATGCGCATAAAGCTTCAGCTGTTATGCTTTTGCGGGACGGAGCTACTGCTGCCGACCCGACGATTCCTAGACATGAAGAGGAAAAGCATCGGTAGCAAGTGAAGGCACGCTGATGCTCTTGATGCTGGTTTTTTGCCGAATGCAAGGAAGGTTCCCAGCCTTCGATGTTCCACATGGCTCCGATCAGAGCACTCAGAATGAAGGCGCATCATGCTCGCATATGCTTGTGCATTCGTGTGCACGCATGTGTGCGAGCGCACGCAGGGAATTGTCGTTTGTTGACGCTGGCGGGATCGGACCCTGGCACAAGGCCCCGCAGACTGGAAGGGGCTGGGCTCTTCTGTCATGCATGAAGAACTGTGCAGAGTAGTGAACACGACAGCCAAGACGAAACAGTCCTATTGCAATGCCGCGTGAAGAAGAACAACAAGAACACCTTCTGGTAGTAGGAAGGAGTCTACCGGGATGGATTGACCGTTTCCGCACATGTTCGCGCAAGATCGATCTAATCTTCAACCCCTAGTGTCCTGTAAATACGTGTGTGTTCAACATGCATCAACTTCCTAAGCCCCGCATCTTCGAAGCATGCACCCTGGCCCGAAAAAGAACTGTATCCAAACGCTATCCTCTGGACCGCAGAGAATGCTGTCGTGGGGAGGTTGACCTTCCGCCAAGGGCTGTGCGATGGGAATCGATTGTGTTACCCCGGAGCTCAGAAGGACAGCGACTAACAAACCCGGCTTGCAGGCTTACAGGAGACCGAAAGGAGCTGATCCTAACATTCAGATCGCTGATTGCCATCACACCAGTCCCTGCTGCAAAGCGGGAAGAACGATCTCCGAATTGTCTGGAAACGAGTGCCACAAAGCAGTTGCCCTTGCAATGACGGTCGAAGAAGTCTTCCTACGCCCGTAGAAGACGCCGACGGTGCTCGCCGAGATAAAACTGAATGCGGATGACTTTGGTGGGTTCAGGTAGTTTCAGCTGTCGGCATCTTAGAGCTAGAGCTGGGGGATGCGTGTTATAGTCTTACTGCATACATGTATCACGGGTACGGAACATACCATCTAAATATCTTGCTCGGCACATAAGCAGAACGCATTGTATACTTGAATTTCGCACCCTTTGTACAACCAGTCCCGGGACAAAGCAGCTAGAAGAAGCAATCTGATGTTTTCGACTGGGCTGAGCTCTTCAGGGATTCGGCTTGCGGCTTCAGTGTTTTTTAGGGTTTAGAGGCTGAGTGTGCCGTTCAAGGTGTCCTTGCTGTTGTTGGTTGTGGGTTCAGGGTGTTCAAGATTATCTCTTGAGTTGCGAGGTCAAGTGAGTCTAGTGACTGCTTGGATCTTCGTCGTCGCAGCAGCTGTGGGCGAACGTGTCAAGCAGAGGGCTCTGCCTGTATATCCACGCTTTGACCAAGAGTTGCCGGGATCACTATAGACGCTCTAGACGTTGGGCCACCATGCAGTCCGTGTGTATGCTGCGTCTGTTGTGTCCTCCAAAGGCTGCAATATCTGCTCTAAGCCACCAATGCTACACGTAGACCCCAGATCCCATACACTACCCGTAAGCACCAAGTCTTCACATGCTGCCAGGAACAATCGCGATACTACTTGTGGCAGCGTAGTCTTGTCGTGGAACCGCTCATAGGGGGATTTGAAGATTCTGCAGGATTGGACACAAGACTGGCTCTGCTTTTGGGATCAAGCATCAAGCCTGCTGTCTCAGAGGCTGCGAAGCACACAAGGTGGCAGGTTTTGACCTGTATGAAGCGCAAGTCATGTCGTCAACCAATCTTCTTCATTGAACGAGCCAGCAAGACCTTGAAGTCAGCATCAAGCACCCTGAGACAACATGTTGGATCGAAGTCTTTCAAGCTGCAAGTGCGTGGCCTTAAGCTGGCAGACAGAACCCTCCCGAGCCTAGATCAACGAAAGTCGGACACGCTTTGCAATCAGTCAAGCTCCTTGCATGGCCTTGGAGAGACTGTCGACGATTGCCGCGTTGCAGCATGGCCTTCTGGCAGCATGGGCCCAGAGCGCCTTCGAGTTTCCAGAAGCCTTGCTGATTCCTAGGCAACTCGCAGGTTGAAACTTTCAGCTGACACACTGCTGAAGTCGAGTTTCGGAGTAGTTGCATGTGCGGGGAGATGAGTAGACATGCTGACACACTGCATCCACGGGCAGTGGATCATTCACGTTCTCTGTCAAAATGGCGGTGAGGGGGGTCAGATTGGGTGTTGAGGGGTTTCGGGTCTTGATTGGGGGTCAGATTTTTGGCGGGAGGGTCAGATTGGGTTGAAGAGGGGTCAGAGTAGGGGTTCAGGGGTCAATTCGGATTTGTGCAATTTACTGTGTTTTCCAGGATGCCAGTGGGGATTCTTTCTTCTTCTGGTGACTTTGTGCTAGTCGGTGTGCGTTGTGGCCGTGCTTGTCGACTGCTTGGTGTGCTTGCGTGTTAGTGCTACCAAGAATGTGAAAAAGGCAGGTCCGGCGTGGAAACTCTGCAGAGGCCCTTCAAGCTTGAATCATTGTGTTCTGTGGCGGACAGTGGAAGGAGTCGTCGGAAGAGCACAAGCCTGTGCAATAATCGTTGCTGGATTAGCAGTGTTGCCGGTTTTTTCGCGTACAAAAGCTTTGTGCTGTGCCGGAAATGGTGCAAAACCACAAAACCTCGTGCTTCGGCAGCGGAAGGAAGGATTTTCACTGCGAATCGGTTCTTGAAGCTTCGGGCGGTGGCCCTTGGAGTTGCGAGCACGCGTGTCACTTTTTGTCAATTGGTGTGCAATCGAGCAAAGTAGCCTTGATGTCCGTGTTTTATCTAAGACTGCAGCGCTCTCTACAGAGCGTGTGACGTGTCAGTGCTTGTGTGTGCATGAGTGTGACACGTCTGTGGCTTGTGTGTGCTTAAGAGCGTGAGAAGTGTAGGCCCCGTGCGCGGTAATGCAGCGAGCTTGCTTCTGCCACTGCTGAAAAGGGCCCTGACCCTTCCAAATGCTGAGTCCACAGACTTTAAAAAAGAGCCACCGCGCTCCCAAATCTCGGGGCACACAAAACCCCACAGAATCGGGAGGGGGACGCTGTGCTTCTCAGCGTGTCTGGTGTCTGCGTGCTTGCGGCCATGCTTATCGGCGTGCCTTGTGTCTAAGTACTGAAGAAGCGCCGTGTCTCAGAGCTGCGACTTTGGTGCTCTCTTGCAAAGGAAGAACTTTGTTGCGAGGTCTTCTTTGTCACTCGTCTAGAAGTTGAGCAGAAGGGCATACGGCGCGTCTTTGCTGGATTAAACACGTGCTTCTCAGCGTATCTTATGTCTGCGTGCTTGTGGCCATACTTATCGTGCCGTGTCTTGGAAGTGCTGTGAAGAGTGCCGAGAAGAGGTCTTCTTTGCCACTCGCGTGCTCGCTTGGTGTGCCTGCGTCTTAAGTGCTAGCAGGAGTGTCTTTCGAAAGAGTTCGGTCCGGCGTGGAAACTGCAGTGATCGTTGTTGCTGTACTAGCCGTGGATTAGCGGTGTGGTGGAGACACGTGCCGGGAACTCGGATGCTGCTGGCTTTTCGCGTACAGAAGCTTCGTGCTGTGCCGGAAATGGTGCAAAACCACAAAACCTCGTGCTTCGGCAGCGGAAAGAAGGATTTTCCGTGCGAGTCGGTTCTGGAAGCGGTTCTGGAAGCTTCGGGCGGTGGCCCTTGGAGTTGCGAGCACGCGTGTCACTTTTTGTCAATTGGTGTGCAATCGAGCAAAGTAGCCTTGATGTCCGTGTTTTATCTAGGACTGCAGCGCTCTCTACAGACCGTGTGACGCGTCAGTGCTTGCGTGTGCATGAGTGTGACGCGTCTGTGGCTTGCGTGTGCTTAAGAGCGTGATAAGTGTAGGCCCCCGTGCGCGGTAATGCAGCTTTGATTTCCCCCCCTGCCTTTGTATTTGCTGTGCTTTGATTTGCCGTTTCTGAGCCTGCTTCTGCCACTGCTGAAAAGGGCCCTGACCCTTCAAATGCTCAGTCCACGGACTTTAAAAAAGAGCCACCGCGCTCAAAAATCTCGGGGCACACAGAACCCCGCAGAATCGTGAGGGGGAGACTACGCCCGATTTGCGTTTTGACCTCAACGAGGTTTTTGTTTGCACGTGCGCCCCTTAGCCTTCGCAGGCTGTGTTGCGAGCTTTTGCTGGGACTTTTCGGGCTCTCTACAAGGCCAAGAGGCCTGCCTGTGACACATCTCTCTGGGCCTTCGCTGCGCTTCTCCGCATGTGTGGTGTCTGCGTGCTTGCGGCCATGCTTATCTTGCTCTGTGTCCAAGTGCTGAGGAGGCGCCGCGCCTCCATGCTGCGAAAGGGTCTTAAGCTACTCGGCGTGTCTTATGTCTGCGTGCTTGCGGCCATGCTTATCCTGCCCTCCTAAGAAGAGTGCCGAGAAGAGGTCGTTTTGGCCACTCGCGTGTTCACCTGGTGTGCCTGCGTCTGAAGTGCTGGCAAGAGTGTCTTTTGGTTTGCGTGCTTGTGGCGATGCTCATCGTGCTGTGTCCTAGACGTGCTGGGAAGATTGTCGCATCTCGGCCACATAGGTGCTCGCTTACCCCGCGTGAAGGTGCTGGGAAGACTGTCGCTTCTTGGCCACATAGGTGCTTGTGTGTGTGGGGAGCGTCATTAGAGAAAGTTAGATCCCGCGTGAAGGCTGCAGTGATCGTGGTGTCTCTATTGGCAGTGGAGTAGCAGTGTGGTGCCGCCGTGCTGCGAACTCGGAGGCTGCTGGCTTGTCGCGTCCGGGAGAAAGGACTGTCCGTGCGAATCGGTTATGGGAGCTCCGTGCGGTTGCAGGGGCAGTGTGCAGCATGCGTGTTATTTTTTGACAATTGATGCGCAATTTAGCAAAGTAAGCCTGATGTCGTGTCTTTTACCAGGACTGCAGCTCTCTACACAGAAGCAGCAAAAGCGTGTGACGCGTCTGGCTTTGCGCGTGCTTTGCGTGTGACGCGTCAGTGGCTGGCGTGTGCTTAAGAGTGTGACGCGTCAGTGGCTTGTGTGTGCTTAAGACTGCGTGATAAGTGTACGCCCCCGTGCGCGGTAATGCAGCTTTGATTTCCCCCCCTGCCTTTGTATTTGCTGTGCTTTGATTTGCCGTTTCTGAGCCTGCTTCTGCCACTGCTGAAAAGGGCCCTGACCCTTCAAATGCTCAGTCCACGGACTTTAAAAAAGAGCCACCGCGCTCAAAAATCTCGGGGCACACAAAACCCCACAGAATGGGAGGGGGAGACTACGCCCGATTTGCGTTTTGACCTCGACGAGGTTTTTGTTTGCACGTGCGCCCCTTAGCCTTCGCAGGCTGTGTTGCGAGCTTTTGCTGGGACTTTTCGGGCTCTCTACAAGGCTAAGAGGCCTGCCTGTGACACATCTCTCTGGGCCTTCGCTGCGCTTCTCCGCGTGTGTGGTGTCTGCGTGCTTGCGGCCATGCTTATCTTGCTCTGTGTCCAAGTGCTGAGGAGGCGCCGCGCCTCCATGCTGCGAAAGGGTCTTAAGCTACTCGGCGTGTCTTATGTCTGCGTGCTTGCGGCCATGCTTATCCTGCCCTCCTAAGAAGAGTGCCGAGAAGAGGTCGTTTTGGCCACTCGCGTGTTCACCTGGTGTGCCTGCGTCTGAAGTGCTGGCAGGAGTGTCTTTTGGTTTGCGTGCTTGTGGCGATGCTCATCGTGCTGTGTCCTAGACGTGCTGGGAAGATTGTCGCTTCTCGGCCACATAGGTGCTCGCTTACCCCGCGTGAAGGTGCTGGGAAGACTGTCGCTTCTTGGCCACATAGGTGCTTGTGTGTGTGGGGAGCGTCATTAGAGAAAGTTAGATCCCGCGTGAAAGCTGCAATGATCGTGGTGTCTCTATTGGCAGTGGAGTAGCAGCGTGGTGCCGCCGTGCTGCGAACTCGGAGGCTGCTGGCTTGTCGCGTCCGGGAGAAAAGAATGTCCGTGCGAATCGGTTATGGGAGCTCCGTGCGGTTGCAGGGGCAGTGTGCAGCATGCGTGTTATTTTTTGACAATTGATACGCAATTTAGCAAAGTAAACCTGATGTCGTGTCTTTTACCAGGACTGCAGCTCTCTACAGAGAAGCAGCAAAAGCGTGTGACGCGTCTGGCTTTGCGCGTGCTTTGCGTGTGACGCGTCAGTGGCTTGCGTGTGCTTAAGAGTGTGACGCGTCAGTGGCTTGCGTGTGCGTAAGACTGTGTGATAAGTGTACGCCCCCGTGCGCGGTAATGCAGCTTTGATTTCCCCCCCTGCCTTTGTATTTGCTGTGCTTTGATTTGCCGTTTCTGAGCCTGCTTCTGCCACTGCTGAAAAGGGCCCTGACCCTTCAAATGTTCAGTCCACGGACTTTAAAGAAGAGCCACCGCGCTCAGAAAACTCGGGGCACACAAAACCCCACAGAATGGGAGGGGGAGACTACGCCCGATTTGCGTTTTGACCTCGACGAGGTTTTTGTTTGCACCCTGCTTGAAGATGTATTCGTTGGAACCTGAAGTTCCGCAAAAATTGTTGGGGACTCAGGCCCCTTGCACACGCAAGCACAGACGCGTCACACGCTTTTGCCTCTGTAGAGAGGGCGCTGCAGTGAACTGCTGGGATACCCGGAATGAACTCCCTATTCTCCAATGTGTTTGCTGCAACTGGGTTGCGTGGTCAAACTCGGGCTGCTGCTTGCTGCATGCCTTCGTTCTTGTCGCGCTTCTGTGTGTCTGCGGCCTTCCAGCGGTACTCTCGTTGTCAGGCTTTGCTTTGGATGCGAAGGCTTGGCTGCAAAGTACGGCTTCTAATTAGCTTGGCTTGCATTAGCAGACTTCCCAGCATCCGCATGCTTTTGCTTCTGCTCTTGTCCTGAAACAGCGTCTCCTGACTGTTGATATTTTGCTCTCACGGAAGCATGGCCTCCATGGAATCCTTCGACAATTTTCGGTATGGCTTGCTGTCCATGGCCCCTATTGGCGTCTGGCTCCCCTGAGGAGAAGTGCTCAAGCTCGCCAGCCAACATGGGTGGATTCTGCAAGGTTGCGCTGATGCGGCGATGTTTTGGCACAGTTTGCGTCTAGCGGAGCTCAACCTGCCGCCTGTTTCTTGGATCGCTGGCAATCTGTTGATGTTTCTACTTCAGGGGTCTACACAGTAACTACATGAACTCTGGTATCACAGTGACCTGCAAGGTCAGTCTCCTGGGCTGGGACTATGCACATGTTCGCCTGCTGCCCGATCCAGAAAAGAAAGATGATGGCGTTATCTTTGTATCCAGTGATGAAGAAGCACAGCCACCCAACGAGGCTACGCCTCAGATCCAGTGACGCACAGCCATCGCTGTAGCGCTCGGTGAGACTCGACCAACATGTCCGCATGTGTTCACTCTGCTCGAAGTCCGTTGGTCAGGTTGCGGCGTCGCAACCTGCACGTTCGTGTGCTGGACCAGGGCAGTCTGTGTTTTGCTACGGACCATCGCATGTAGCCAGGCTTGCAAAGCGATGTCGCATGCCCACATCAGACTTTAGATTCCCACGTGCGACTTCACAGACACAAATCCCCACGTGTACACGACTGCAGGAGTCGACATGTGATTGTGTCTTCTGGTGTGTGTCGCACATGTACCATCTGTTTTGGAGTGCATCTTCCCACACGACGCGTCTCGGCTTAAAGCATCTTCTTGAGTTGCGTGTGTAAGACACGGCTCTGCCTTTTACTTCCGTACCTCCCGCGCTAACACAATGTCGCGCGCCCTCATTTACGAGGCACGCATCTAGCGCCTTTCCGTCGTTTCCTTGTGTTGTAGACCTCTTGACACCGCCAGGCCATGCAGCCATTCTTTGCAGCCCGCTGCGAGGAAGCAGCGGAAATTTTGGGTGAGGCTCAGACAGCAGGCGGGCACCCGGCCCTAGCGACGCCGTCAGTGAATGCACTTTTGGAGGTTTGAGGTTTTGCCTAGGACACGCGTATAACGGTGGCGATAACTACCACCTGCATCCAGACGGCATGAAGCCGTTCTGCGACGCCATTGCTGACTTCCTGAAGGCGGCGACCGTGGATGTTTCTTGTTTCCTTGGTTTTGTTTTAGGCGGGGGTTCTCCTCTGGTCTTTCCTGTGTGTCTCTGCTGCCGGTGACCTCTCAGGGCGCGGATTTTGTGATAAGCGACAGCTGCTTGTGTGCTGTGCGCGCTCTGTCCCAGGCCGCAATTTCTCGATTCCACCGCCAGTAGCCGCGCTTTTTTGTTTTGGTTTCTTTTGTGTGCTATCAGGACAATCATGAACAAGACCGCGATGGGAAGCTCTCCCAGTCCCTGCTCCCTGTGCCGGTGTGTCCGGCATGGGGGCAGGGATTTGGGAGAGATTACTTTTCTTGGCACCTTTGGCGGCATTTGCCCCAAGGCGCCAAGAAAGTTGTCGTGGTTTGCTCCGGTGCGTATTGCAGCTTGACATTCTTGGACTATAAGTGTTTGGACCTTCGTGCATGCTATGCTTGCTTTTGCCAGGGAATGATGTCACCTTCGGCGAGGACCCCTCCTACGTCGCCGACTGCATGCGGCGCATGATTCACGCGGGCTACTTTTTTTCCTCTCTGCTTAGAGCTCCAATGCATCTCTCCCTGTGCGCTCCGGTAAGTGCCCTCCCCTCCTTTGCAGGACTTCGCGTGGTACGATGTCGATTTCAAGGTCCTGGACGTTGTACCATCCCAGGACATACGGCCAACGCCGTCGCCGTGACTGCACATCAACTTTCGGCTTTCTTGAGGGGGACCAGCCTTACAAAAGAAAGCTGCGCACCGAGAAACACTGCGTTGCTTTGCCTTCAAAACCGCTGTGCGCGTCCTGGTGAGTACAGTGACGCTTCCAAGCAGTCAGTGTCTACCTCTGCCAGGTGCATGTCCGTGTCCAGGTGTGTCTGTTTACATCGTTTACATCTGTGTCTGTGTGTCTTTGTGCCCGTGTGTCTCTGCCTGTGGTTTGTCTCTGTCCATGTCTTTGCCTCTGTTTGCGTGCATGCGGGTGTCCCCCTGTGCGTCGCTGCCATCGCACGTGCAGGACTAGACTAGACAGCTTTCTAGCATTCGCACATGTACCATCTGTTTTCGAGTGCATCTTCCCACACGGCGCGTCTCGGCTTAAAGCATCTTCTTGAGTTGCGTGTGTAAGACACGGCTCTGCCTTCTACTTCCCTACCTCCCGCGCTAACACGATGTCGCGTGCCCTCATTTATGAGGCACGCATCTAGCACCTTTCTTTCGGTCGTTCCCTTGTGTTGTAGACCTCTTGGCATGCCAGGCCATGCAGCCATTCTTCGCAGCCCGCTGCGAGGAAGCAGCGGAAATTTTGGGTGAGGCTCAGACAGCAGGCGGGCACCCGGCCCTAGCGACGCCGTCAGTGAATGCACTTTTGGAGGTTTGAGTTTTTGCCTAGGACACGCGTATAACGGTGGCGATAACTACCACCTGCATCCAGACGGCATGAAGCCGCTCTGCGACGCCATTGCTGACTTCCTGAAGGCGGCGACCGTGCATGTTTCTTGTTTCCTTGGTTTTGTTTTAGGCGGGGGTTCTCCTCTGGTCTTTCCTGTGTGTCTCTGCTGCCGGTGACCTCTCAGGGCGCGGATTTTGTGATAAGCGACAGCTGCTTGTGCGCTGTGCGCGCTCCCCCCTGACCCCAATCTGACCCCCCAAACAAAGGGTTGAAACCTGGCTTCACAAAGCTCCTGCAATAGATTTGTCAGAAAATTTTTTAGGGAATTCGAGCAGATGATCCACTGCCCGTGGATGCAGTCTGTCAGCATGTTTACTCATCTCCCCGCACATGCAACTACTCCGAAACTCAACTTCAGCAGTGTGTCAGCTGAAAGTTTCAACTTGCGAGTTGCTTAGGAATCAGCAAGGCTTCGGGAATTTCGAAGCATAATCTCCCACACATCTAAGGCAATCTCGGCCGATGATGACTACGACTGCTTGTGCAAGGTTGGCAGGGTTTCTGCATGATGCCAGATCGAGAGTTCATCATGCTTCCAGCTTGGAAGCTCTGACCAGATCTGATGTAGCAGACTTGGCCAGGTTGTCTTGGTTGGTGATGTTTCAGTTGGCAAGACCCACCTCTTGTCGCGCTACATGAAGGCTGGGCGAAGACGATGTCAGAAAGTTTGAAAGCAGCCAGCCAACTTTATGTGAAACTGCCAAGCTTCTTGAATTGTTAGGATCCCAGATGTGTGACATCGTAGGCTTAAGTTTGGCACGATTCCAGTGTCCTATCAGGACGACTTGCCCAAGGCTCGAGCCCCAGCAGTTGCACGCTGTGGAAGTCATTTTTGAATTTGTGAAACGTGTGTATGCTGCCTGCTCCCGAGCCCTATTCTTCCTTCCTCTCCCTCTCCGTCTCCTCTCCCTGTCCCACTCCATCTCTCTTGCTTTTCTGTCTGTCAGTCTCTCTCTCTCTCTCTCTTTGTCTGTCTCTCCGGGTGTCTCTTTCTCTTTCTCTCTGTCTGCCTGTGTCTATGTGTCCGTCTCTGTGTTTCTTTCTGTCTCTGTGTTTGTCGCTGCGTGCCTCTGTCTCTCTGTCGCTTCGTCGCTCTCTCTGCCTCTCTGCTTCTGTCCCCGTCTCACTCTGTTTGTGTCTCTCCATTTTTTCGCCCTTTCCATCTTTGTTTGGATAGTCAAACACTTCTTGCGTTCTTCAGGCCCCGGCAGCCACGATTGGTGTGGGGACCTTAGTAGCGGCAGACGGAGCAGACAGAGTCAGGCGAAGCGAACATGAGATGGGCTATTCAGAATTCAGCATCGGAATGACCAAGGAAGAACGAGTGTAGTAATCCCAACTGCAAGAAAGAAAGGCTTGTTGGAAGTCCGTCAGCATGGATAGCTGAGGCCTAAGTGACAACCGAATATATCAGCATACCCTTGCTCAGCATTAACCGACCGTCTCATTCCGGTTCCGGAAGTGTCCTCTGACACGCACAACATAAGGAGACTTTGATGGGCTTCCATGTGCAACACACACGCATCTAGCCTGGTGGCCCACGTAGGCTTCCGATTGAAGTAGCGGCGCACACTTCGAAGTAGCATGCATTGCATGAGGTGTCTAAAGAGTCAACAGCCGAACGGAAAGCCGGCAGAACGAATCACACGTTTTGCTCGAATCTGTTTTGCGTGCTAAGGATGCCCTGCTAGGACTAGAACTTCGACCTACAAGCTGACCAAAAGTTTCAGATGTCGTTTGCGACAGTGACCAGATCTCGGAGGCTTTGAGCGCTGATTCCGGCATTGGGGATGGCATAAGCAAAACTCGGCCGCAGCCGTTGGACTTTGGAAGCCCCTTTGGGTTCAATTGGGTGGCCCGAGGTCGAGTTTGCCACGCTCGGGGGCCCAGATTCGCTGGTTGTGTTTTTGCTCTGTTGACCGTAAACCGAAAGGACACCTGGCAGAGTTCAACACAGGATTTCGGCAGAACACCCCAACTTGCGCAGTCGCAGCAGGAAGACTGTGCGTTTGACGGCGAGCGGCGTGAACGTCAAGGCCTCATCCGTTGGCTTCCCCCGAGCTTATTCCAATCTCCAAAGCGTCATTGAGCCGGGCCGCCGCATATCAGTCCAGATTACATCCCCTGAAAGCCGATTCCAGCCTCGGCGCGAGCTAAGGCACGCCACTAAGAGCAGCCGAATTCTATCAAGCGGACGGTGCAGCTTCACCCAGTCATAATGTACCGGGATGCTGGGCTCGGCTGCTCAAAGATACTGTAGTCTCTTTTCGGAATAGCTGATGGCTGTGCCGAAACCGCCACGAGCCTTCTCCAGCTAGTTGTCCCTGAGCTGTTTCGCCTCAAAGTCGATGCTGGTGTATGAATAGCTTGCATGCTTGATGATAAGCACAACAAGTGCATCGGCCGGGTCTTGGTCCTCGGTCTGCTCACGAGACAGGGCTGGATGCCCTCCAAGATGTTCCACCAGGCATATGTTTTTATTTCTTTACCGGTCCTTTGCCTTGCCAGGTGTCTTCTGTTTTGCCTCTTGTGTTTTTCCTAGCGGTATTGTAGAGGCTCCCGGAGTTGCCATGAACTGGCTGCACGACGGTACAGCTTTGGCAGGCGCAGATCTGGGACACCGCTGGCCAGGTGCATCAATGCTCTGGCAGTTCGATGCAGGGCTGCTGTTGGGGGCCGTGGCGGTGGCGGTTGGCTTACACCAACTCTTCCTCTTCTCATGTCGACAACATTTTTGCGGCGGCCTGACCTTGTAGCTGTCGTTGTGGCTGTGGTTGCACTGTCATCGTCATGGTCGTCTTCGCTGTTGTGGTTGTTGCCGTGGTTGGCGTCGTCGTTGTGGTTGTTGCTGTTGCTGCTGCCGTTGCGGTAGCGGTAGTGGTAGTGGTACAGGTCGTCGTCGTCATCCTCACTCTTTTCGCTTCCTGCTGTTAGCCCGAATGACTCCTGGCTGCAGGAGCGCTATCGAGCCATCACTCGGGCCCACTACCGTAGGGCCGCGGGGGCCGAGCCGGCGACTTGCAGCTGAGCCATGCGTTGGCAGCAGGCTTTGATTCTCCGTACAATGTTGCGGCGCCGGCACATGACTCTCTTGCTCTGCTGTGCTGCATTTCGCTTGATGCAGTAGACTAAAGTGACTAAAGCTGCCAACGCATGGCATAGCTTTCGTATATGTCCACTATTGTTGTCGCTGGCTGCGGACACTTATGTGTAGATTCGATTGTGGTTTCCCAGTGTAGCTGCTCAAGGGTTCATGGTCCTGCACACTTTAGTTGTTCTGTTCCCTTATTCGTAACAGTAGTTGTGGACATGCTGTTAATCCAATATGCCAGACGGGATGTTGCTTTCTTGTTTGTTGCGTTGGACTGCGAGTTTGGGTCGGATGTTGCTCTTGTGCTGATTTCTGATTCTAGTGTTGAATGATGTCATCTAGTTTTGTTTGTTGTTCTACTAGAGCACCAGCATCTTCCAGGATGTTACTTCATTTTTTACAGCTGGTGACTGGGTTGCCAGGCCATTATGGTCTACGACGTCACAAGGCGGAGCAATGCGTGCTTCGCTCCGGTCCATAGCACCTTTAACCCGATGCACTGTGCCCGAACTGGGGCAGGTCGGAGACCTTCAGAAGTTGTGCCTCCTGGGTCATGGGCTGAGCAGCATTTGTTGGCAGTCAAGAGAAGCAGGGCAAAGTCCAACTTCGACATACGAGCAGCTGATCAGCTCCGGCACCAATTGCTTGAGTGTGCAGTCTTCGAACTTGCTTTGCACCAGCGGCAACCGTGGTTGGCACCGGGGGGAAAGCGCTGGGCTTGGCCTTTGAGCTGTGGAGATTGGCCCTCAGTCGCCGAGGTCCAGGAGGTGCGGGAAGGACTGCACTGACCGCACCGAAGAGTTTGCGAACCGAAGCAGCAGTGCGAGCAGCTAAGCTCGCAGGGGAGCTTTCAGAGGGAGTGCGCAGAGTAGCTGATGGCTCATACAAGAGAAGACTTGCGTAGGCAAAGGCTACAGGCAGCGTCAACAACACGCCAGTGAAAGGCATGTTGCTCGAATTCAGCCTTTCTTCGACATTTCCAGCTACGGATGGAGATAGCCAGTGATACAACCAAGAAGCTGTGTCGTCACGTTGTGTGAGAGCAAAGCTGAACTCATTCTTAGGTTTTGCATACAACGATGGGTTCGTCCTTCGTCAGCACATTCGGTGATTAAGCCAAAGCTTGACCTTACTGGAAGTTCTGTTACAGTTTCCATCATTTTCAGATATTGCTAGTATTGGGCTTCGGAAAAATCTTTACACGTATGGATGCATGTGTTTACCATGATGACGACTGTGATGATCAATCAATGCGATGTCTATCCGACTCGTTGTTGTTTTTGCGCATTTTCAGAAGAATAATGAGTTGAAGCGGGAAGCCCACCATAATCAGAACCTTCCGACTGGCTCAGGAAAGCTCCTGTGTCACAAGTGTGGAACCTTAAACTTCTCTTGAACCTGAAGTTTCTCAAGCAAAGCTTCCAGCGTGCAGACTTGGAAGGAGCCTCCCAAGATGCGGTGATAATGCTGGTGGGCAACAAGGTGTGCCCGGGCATAAGCCCGGGTCTCCTTCTTGGGTTCTTGGGCTTCTTCCGTTGGTGTCCATGTCGGAGCTCGCGGGCTCCCGGACTGTGCTGTAGAGGCATCACCTCTTTGTTTGGGCGTGAACAGCAGCTGCTTCCGTCCGTCTTGCGATGATGGGAATCACTGGTGCTTCAGCAATGAATTGTAGACTCACTTGGAGATCAGGCGCTGAATAGTCCCGTAAGACTCATTTTCAACTCATGCCAGATCGACCTGGTCGAACAAGATCCTTCTTTGCGGCAGGTCTGGGCGTGAATGGGTGAGCTGCCATTGACTCACGTGCATCCGACTAGGGCTTACCGTTGATGCGAGGTTTACCACGACGTTGCGCAGGAGTTTGCTCGACAGCACGGCCCGAGACTAAATATGGCAAGAGAGCCGGAAGAGCCAAGAGGGTCAGAGAGGAGAAGCCTCAACTTCTGTGTAGTCGGTGCGCAAGTCTGTTCGCCCAGGTCTCCACTTCGTTGAGGCCACCCGGAGAGTCGTAAGTCGCGGCCACGCCTTTTGTACAATTTCGCCGGAGGCTTCGGCTGTTTCCGGCATGAACGTGCGCGACGCTTTTGAACAGCTCCTAGAAGAGGCCATGCCCGGCTGGAGTTCCCTCTTTGGGTCAATTCCACCGGTTCGCTTTCCGAGCTTTATGCAAGGGATTGTTGAACTTCTCATTGCGGGCGTGGTTTGAACCGGGCAGTGCCATCCAGGCCGGACACATGACTTGTGACGCCGCTAGAAGCAGGTGCCGGAGAGGGACACGCGGACGGACGGACGGACCAGTGACTGTCCATCGCGCTTTGATGCAGGTATATTCGAAAGCGCCGAAGGAGTCCGGTCCACAGACATGCAGGGATCGTAGCGCTGCGTTGAGTCTCAGGAGCTGGAGGCAAAAGTCTTTTCACGAAGTCTCGAAGCACCTGGCAGCAGCAACATGCCCTTTTGCATGGCCGCGATGAATCCGTCAGAGACAAGTGTACTTTGTCCTGGCATGCATTTCTGTGAATCCTTCTACTTGTGTGTGTGTGTGTGCGTGTTTGCCACTGAAATTCGCAGCGGAAGCTCTTCTCGTCGGTAGGCAGAGCGACGCTGAAGGTGCCGTGGCCATGTGTGGCCGGTTAAGGTAGCAGGGCAGCGCATAGACATCTAGACGCTTTGTTGTTTCAGGAAGTATCTTCCTGACACTGTACGCTGTAAGGGGTTTCGGGCATCTTTAAAATCGTTTCTTGCGATCTTCCTGTGAGGTCCAAGGGGCAGTTGTTTACGCCAGGCTCCCAGCGAAGTCATGGCACGGCGCAGCGAGTGTGAAGCCTTCGTCCTCTGGTTGAACTAGCTTCATGATTTCTAGAATTCTAAAGATGGTGCTTCGTCCGTCGACCGACTGGACCCTTAAACCCTCAACCCCAGACCTGCGCGCGAGAGCCCGCAAAAATGAGCAAACCCGAAGTCTCCATGCTAAATCATAAACTACAGTCTTTTGCTCCCGGATTTCAGGTCCGGCGGCATGTCGATCGACAAGTCGGCAGTGTCTCGATTGCAGCTTGCAGTGTCCTGATTCGCGGGAGCTTTTGCTGTGATGCTTTACTTGGCTGGATCGTTCCATGTAGTAGTATATGTCATATGCCAGACGTTGCAGTCAGCTCGGTGCGAGAGTACAAGGTGACGATTTCGCCAACCAACGGCACACGAGCTTCTTCAGGCCTGACCGGAGCGACTTTAGAATATGCATGTTAGAGCATGTAGAAGTTTTTCCCAGGTACACGTTGCTGAATCTGGACAAAGTGCGCAAGTACCTGTGTGTCAGCTTGTATGCTTTTTCAATGTAAGTACTTATGCATGTAAGTATGTATGCGTCTACATGTACATGATGTCCGTACCGGTATGTACTCCCAATGTATATGTATATGTCTATATATACTAACATGAAATACGTACAACAATGTACAACATGTATATTCGCAATACACTCACAGGCTGTCTTGAACCGACAAGTGGAAGTTCAGGGACACTTGCACACCAAAAACCACGTCGTTTGCTCCATTTCGGGGAGGTCGAGTTCGATTCCGGAGGGGTTCTTCGCAGATCCAATTGTTCAAAATTCGGGCTCCATTACCGCTTCTGTGTTTCCTTCGGAATTTTTACGGCCCTTGTGCAATCACTGCCTTTGACTTTTGCTTCATTGCTGCCACTGCGTTTTTGGGCAATTATTGCGCGTTTTCCCTGCGTTTCCAGCACATGAGAACAAGAGAACGTTGGACAGGGGGAACTGTTATCTGCAAGGTCTGGGGTTGGGAGAGGGAGGCAGAGAGGGAGGGCAACGAGGGAGAAGGAGAGGGAGCGGAGCAAACGCACATTTACAGACATTCCTGATGCACTGTAGTGTGTGCGTAGACGCATGCATGCACTGATGTGTGCAGGAAATATCAGACGTCAACCAAGGTAGCTCAAGCATCCAACAGCAGTGTTGTTCTGATCAGTGCTACAACCTTCCAAAAGCCTTATATAACTTCCATGGATGTATGGTATTGCTTTTCACTATCATGCCGTAGTTTACAGAACCTGTTAATAACAACACTCAAAATCCAACACTGAAAGGATCAACACGTCCAAAACAACCTGATGAAAACTGCAGATCCTCAAGTGTTTAAATCCGTAAGTTGCTAGAATTTTGAGAGTGTGGCCCCCGCCTAACCATTCGTGGGTGACATAAGTAACAAGTTGCCTGTGAATCCCCCCTGATCCGGTTGACCTTGATTTGGGGTCTGAGCGGGTTTGACTAGCTTAAACGGGTTTGGAAGGGTCCGACGGGTTTGCGGATGGCTCGGGGAATGGGTAGGTTTGACTAAAATAGAAGGGTTTTGGAAAGGGGTTTGGGGGTGGCTTGGGGTCTGGGTGGGCTTGACCAACTTGAAAGTGGCTTTTCGGCCTTCTGGGCTTGGGCTTAAGGGTTCGGGGTTCAATTTTAAGGGTTCTATGTGTGTGCAGTTGCTGTAATTAAGTTAATGTGGGCCACGTTTAGACTTTTAGTCTTGTGGCTCGGCTTTGTGTTGGGGGTTTACGGTTCAGGGTTTATTGAGAGGTATTTAAGGGATTTAGGTTTCAGAAGGGACTGCCATGGGGCCTGGGTTTTTGCATATCCAGTGTTTTGCACTTTTTGCACTACTTGTTCGGTACTTGTCGTTCAGGGTTGCTTTGCATGCTTCGGAAGGCCCTCTGGACCCCTGGAAGTCCTGCAAGCCGTATTTATAAGCACAAGCCTTACACCTTAAACCCTAAACCTTCAGCAAAACCAAATTAGGTTTGGGGTTCAAGGCTGGGGGGTTCAGGGTTTAAGGTTCCTTTGAGATTGAAGAGTACTTATTACGTTACAGGTTTTTGGGATTGGGGGTTTAGGTTCCTGATCCTGTACTCAATGGAGATTGACCATTCGCAGAAAGGGCCAAACCTCCAGGCCAACAAAAGTGCAAGATAGATTTCGCGCAACTCTTTCACAGCAAAATAACTTAGCACCTGAAACAGTGCATTGTACAGGAAGAGACGGTACAGTACCAAATTAACAGTTGTCCGATGAGTGTTCCCGTCAATTGTGAAGCGGTGGCCTTGTGTAGTGTACTGCTGCTTTCCGAGACTAAGCCGTGCAGAGCAGAGGCATAACTAATTGGTTCGCAGCGGAGCTTGGAAACACGTCGCGATGGAAGCGACTCTCGCACATGTGTGTCTGCTTTTTTGGGCCAGCGATGCACGACCTTCTAGTCTAAGGTGTAATTGCAGGGACCAGTTTACTGCTTTGATGTGAGGACGTGTCATGTATTGCCATGCAATTTCACGAAATTCAATGTAGTATTGTATGTACCTGTGTTGCGTACATATAAACAAGGCAGGTGCAGATGGTATCACATATGTGGATGTACATGTATGCCATTGTATGCCAATGATCCATCCGTCAGCCCGCTCGTCTGCCGGTCTGTATCTCTCTCTCTCTCTCTCTCTCTCTCTGTGCCTCTCTCTCACTCTCTCACTTCTCTGTTCGGATTTGCATCGAGATGCACATGGGCTTATGTACATCAGTTTGTGCATTTGAAATTTGTGCACAAGTCTATAATTGAAGTTTGTGGGAACCGGGTGTAACCGCAAATAGCTGTGTTCAGGTCCAAATCCCCAGGCAAGTATCGAAGCCTAGCAAACCATGACAACTCAGTTTTGCACCAAAGATTGACATTGCGTCCAAGCTTGTTGAGCATGCCGAGAACGAAGCATGAAGGCATGGAGAACATCAGCCTGTACAGCCTAGAGGGTTCCGGATGCTAAGACGGCGAAAGCACTGATCCTGCAGGCTGCGACTATTGCGGCTAGAGCCAACACTCGGCCCGGCCCCAACTGCACGTTTCACCGGCGAAATGATCTGAAGGTGGCTTCTGGGATCTTTGATGGGGCGACTTGGGAGGGTACGCAGGACAGTCGGGTTGGCATGTGTGCAGTGATTTTAGATCTCTCGCGTTTGGACCAAAGGCATTCTCAATGCCGAAAACACTTTGCCCGAATACAGGGCTTCGCAACGCTGAGCCGCTGAGCCAAGCAGCGGCCCACTGCGAGGGGCTTTTCGTGCCATCCGCCCTTGGATCTCTGCCGCCTCCAGCAGCCCAAAAGAGTCGAAGGGTCTGCCTTGGCTTCGGGAGGTTCTAGTAAGGTGAGTAATTTGAGTTCGCTACGCTCACCATGCGACCAGACACCGCAAGCAACAGGAGTGTTTCAAAAGCCGGACTTCATCAACCTCCTGCTTTCAAAAGTTGTGCTTAGCAGCTTGAGGAAGCCAAGGGTGTCGCTCGCCTCAGCAGAGAGGCCAGAAACAGGGGCAGAGTTACACGCCCAGTTCGAAGATTGGGCAGCCCCACCGTCTTTCTGCTGTCGCCATGTGCCTTCGTCACAATGCCAACCTGCGGCAACTGCCACCATCCACTACTCCCTGCTCGTCCTCCTCCCCAGCCCCCTACTGCTCTGGTGATGGCATCTCCGAGGGAGGCGACACTTCTGGCACCAGCTGCGAGTGGCCCGGCACGCGACACCAGAAGTCCCCAGGAGCACAGAGAGTGCTACTCGGTTCCAAGTCTAAGTGTCACCCACGAAAGGACAGCGCGTGTTTGATATGCTTAGTGATTGTGCATTGTGCGGCTTGCTGACCTGATATGTGGGCTCAAGTTTAGTTAATGAGCAAGAGGAGCGGCAATGGACCAATGGAGCAGCCGCGAATGTGGCTAGCATGTCGCTTGGCAGATCATTGCTGCAGCTGATGGATAGGAGGTGGTGCGGCGAGGGCGAGGATAGTGCAGTGCCAGTGCCGAGTTGGACTTGTTTCATCAGCTCCATGCCAAAGCCTTCAGGGCTGATATGGGGCGCATGTTGTTAGGCTTACCAGGCACCATGTCATGATCTGAGATGTCTCCTAGTAACAGTCATGCACATCTCGAACTCCGGCGCCTGGATGAGTAAGCACAAGGGAGGCCTTTGCATGAAATTGAGACTGCAGCAGTATTGTTCCACCCTCTTAGTCGGGTTCGGTGAAGAACGATTCGCTGACTTTCTTGTAAGGCACTCACTTTGACGTTGCAACACAAGCAATGCTTGCAGGACATGCCGTAAGAGGGCACCAGAACAAGTAAGACAGAAATATACTGCTGTCAATGATCACAGCACACGGCGTACAGTGATTCGTCCGTTCCATGTGTCGATGTGCTGCTCTGGCTTGTGCTTGCCGTCATGGTCATCAAAGCATTAAACAGAATGTACCCTCACTTGCCCCCGTGAACTCGCCAGACGACCGGCGATGCAAATGCGGGCCCCATTAGTTGCCGACAAAAAAGTGATGCCGATCTGGATCGGGAGACGCAAGCTGCAGCCACCTCAATGTTGGGGCCTCACCGATTGTGCTGGCAAAATCGAGCGCCCTGTGTACACGTTTCAGTCCCGCCCGGCCAGCAGCGTAGCCGTTTGCTAAACGCCTTGTGTGACTCATTCAGAGCAATCGAGGACGAGGCAGGGACAGTTGCGAAGGTTTGAGGGCACATATTGACTCCCACCTGTTGGGGGTATTGCAAGGGCGACTTTGGCCAGAGTGGCTGAGGGGACGCAACCTGGTTTCCCGTCTTCAGCAAATTAGTACGCCGCTGTTTCCATGGAAACATTCATCGATCCTGCACTGCCCTACGAGGTCGTACTATGCCCTTCTCATTCCGTGTACGAACACCGAACAAAAAGATGGCAGATGGTCGCACCGGAAACCAAGCTGTTCCGTCTGGCGCCGCGCATGTTGCCATCTCGTGCATTAGGCATCGGCCGTCCGGCCCAAACGTTAGTGTTGCGACGGCCAGTCGCTCGACAAACTGCTCCCGGAGAGCGCAGGGCAGATATGCCTCGCCAGGTTGACGGAGCCTCTCAGGCAGTGAAGCCCAGACAGCGCTGCAGAGCCTCGAGCATTACGGGACCTAGTCCAGGACGTGAAAATCCTTCACGACCCGAGTCAGAGCCCTCGTTCGGTCGCGCTAGCTTACGCCTGCAAACAATCTTTGGGGACCAACATGCACAAGGCAACTAGAGCTGAAGATCCTGACAATCCGTATGTTGGACCTTCGCAGCGGCCCAGCAGGGAATGGTGGCCTTAGGATGCCGTCCCGGTGATGAGCGCACGCCCTTTCTCGCGAATCGCGAAGGCGCTTACAGCGGACGCCGGGAAAAAACGCAACAGCTATGTGGAATGCCGACATGCATGGCGCTGTCGACTAGTCACGTCGTATTTGAAGTTGAGGATGTGTTCACATGCTCGCCACGGCGGGGGGGGGTGCCCGCGGCTCCTTGCACAAATCCTTCCGTGTACACCTGCTCGCATCCTTGGCTCGAGGAGCCAATTGTCCTCGCAGCAAGGCAATCCCTCATTGCTGAACCCCTCTCGCTCGGCCTCTACCTTGCGCGAGCTGATCGACCCCGTGCACAACCCCCCCCCCCCCCCCCCCCCCGCGGACCTGTTGGATTTTCAACCCGATGCACCAGTTGCGCTTGATCGAGCCGCGCTGCTCACCAACCTCCGCCGTGTATGCAAAGGCTCCGCACCGGGACCAAGCGGATTCACGGCCCGAAATGCTCCGCCTCGTTCTCGATGATAAAGAGGCCATGTCAGCATTTGCGGAGGTTGTGACCCTCGTTGCCCGCACTATCCTGCACTCTCCACGCAGCCAAAGGCGGAGGCACTGCTGCACACCCTGCAAGCTAAGACTGAAACCGACCCCCACCTCACATGTCTGTCCGTTGACATCTTGGGAGCTTATGACACTGTCAGCCGGAGGCCATGTTGTCCGCGTTGCCTGGGGTGCCGCAAGCTTCAGCCCTGTTGCCGTTGGTACGCCTTTGGTACGCCCCGCATCTGTGTGCGTGTGGGCGGCTGCATGGCCCGCAGGCACACCGCGTCACCCTATAGCTGAGTGCGGTGAACAACGTGACCCGCTCATGCCGGCCCTATTTGCCTTGGCGTTTGCGCGTGCCCTCCGCAACTTGCATGCAGACCTCCACCCCGCCGAGCAAGTTTTGGCCTTGCTTGACGACGCACACATCTTGACTCCACCTCACCACACGCTCCAACTTTACCACCAAATCGAAAGGCACGCGCTGCATCGTGCCCAGCTCCGCTTCAACCCTGGTAAGACCCGCGTTTGGAACAGTGCCGAAGAGGGTGTTGACTCGCTCGCTCCCGATCGCAACGTTTGGGTCGGCAACCGGGTGTCGGAACCAGCCCAGTGCGGCTTTGTGGCACTTGGTGTGCGCTTTGGAACCCTTGAGTTCATTGCTGCATTCCTTCAGACCTTACTCGCCTTTGGCTCTTTGCGGGCACTCAGGCTGCGTGGCTGTTGTTGTGTTTTTGGGCTGCCCCTCGTGCACACTATGTATGCACTTCGCACATTGCCACCCGAGGATGCGCGGACAACGTCGTGGCGCATGATGCCGCCGTCCTCACTTGCCTGCCTGCTTTGCTGCATGCCGATACTGCTTCCGGTTTGCCAGCTTTGGCTGCCGCACGTGCCCAGCTCGCGTTGCGCCACGGTGAGGGCCATGCCGTCGCGTCTTAGTGGGCATCTTCGATGCGCTGCCTGCCCTTGCGCATCGGTATGCACATGTATGCACCCTTCGCTCAAGCACTCGCGCGTTCTCCGGATGGCCCTGGGCCTTTGCCTCACGCTCGTGCTGCCTTGAAAGATGCCGCAGCACCCCGGCAAACTGCAGGGTTCCAGGCCTCCACTTCTCTCGGCGGCTGCCCCTGTGTCGCCTGACCACGACCCCCGCCGACAGTACATGTGGGTAGCAGTGCGCAGCTTGTTGATGAGTTCTGCCACCGTGCCGTCCGCCGCGAGCTTGGTGCCCCTGCCTTGCTTTGCTGGACTTGTAGTTGGGCCCTCACCGGACCGGTCTCGTTTCAGCTGTCCCTCAGCTGGCCGTCTTTCAGCGTGTTGCTCATCCGCCGGCTCCGCCTGCCCTGCCCTCGACGGCTGCGTGATCTCAACGTTGAGGCCACGATGCTGCACGTAGCGGCCCACCGAGCCCAGCCCCCTTGCTGGATTCGCTTCCCGGTGGGAGCATGCAGGCGAGTCGTAACCCCTTTGCCCGGGATCTGCAGTGAGCATTGCGATGGCTCCGGCCGGGGCACCAAAAGCCCATTCTACTTGGAAGTGTCGCTTGCACAGTGCTTGCACCACCCCATCGTTCTTCACGCTGCCGGGCAAGGTGGCGGAGGGAACTTCGGCGCCGAAGCGCCATCCGACTTCAACACCGATGACAACGAGACGTGCCCGGCGCGCGCTCGCAAGCTCGCGGAACGTCTGGCGCCGCTTGCGGCGAGCGGCCGCGAGGAGGGCTGCGCCAGGGCGGGTGTCGGCGCCCGGACGGGAACATCAATGTTCATACCAGCGGCCCGCACGTTGCACGCGACTCGTGCGCCGCCCTCCCGGCTGACGCGGGCGACTGCGTGCTCGAGCGGCAAGACCCCGGACGTCACGCAAAGCTGCGGTCCCCCGAGGCGGCCTCGGCAACAACAGGTGCGTGGAGCTAATGGGAGCGGCAGTTGCAGTCGACGCAGTAAAAGCACACGGAGGTGAGCTGGGGGCAGGGCGACGGCGGCTGAGGGAGGGTTGTGACGGCGCAACATAACACCCTTTTCTCACCTTTCATGTTGGGTCAAACTTGGCGTGCTTCAATTTAATGAAAGGAAGGAACACGCTTCCGTTCATTCCGCTCATCTCATTACCGTATTTTATTACAATTAAATGTGGGGCATGCCAGCATCATGAACTGAAATTCCGCCCTTCGCGGCAGCTGCAGAGTTTACGTGTGCAAAGACATGCTTGTGGCGATGCTCGAGCGCGTAGAGCTTCGAGTTTGCAAATCTTTCGTATGCACCGCCGCGAAGTACGGGTTTGGAAGGCTTCAAACATCCAACGTGTATTGCAGGCATCGTCGTGGTCGAGCACGAAACGGTTACTTTCGTTTTTTGCCGGCAAGCAAAAGTCGTTGCAGCCTTCACCGGATGAGTTTGCTGAGGAGCTGGAAACGCTATTTTGCGCGAATCCGCCGTTGCCTTGTCGACCGCAGTATTTGACAGAGAATGCTTGGAGCATGAGGGAGCTCTTTTCCGCGTTGCGCAGAAAGAAAGTCAACAAGGCTGCCGATGAAGTTGGCTTGGTGGTTGAGTTGCTTCAGCATGCACCCAGCTCGTTTCTACAAGAATTGCTTCGGTTGTACAACCACGTCTTGCATACAGGGGAGGCGCCGACGAGCTGGCGCAAAACAGTCTTCAAAATGTTGGCGAAGTTTGTCAAGGCAAAAACCATAACGGATTTTCGACCTGTTACAAATGTTCGGCTGCTGTACAAAACCTTCGCTTGCTTGGTCTTGGGTCGGGTTGAGTCTGTCCTAGATGCCAATCAACCTGAGGAACAACATGGATTCAGGAAGGGACGCCGCATCGAAGAGCATTTATTGACAGTCAATATTATGTTGGACAAGACAGTGGCGGCCAACATTCCTCTTTGGGTAAGTAGCGTTGATTTTTCGAAGGCGTTTGACCGTGTGTCATGGACAGCTCTATGGTCAGCACTCGCGAGAACTTTATGCTGGACAGTTAGGAATTGTTTGAGGTGACGATGGAGAGTCCAGTCGTTTGTTTCAGATTTTGGGTGGGAGTGCGTCAAGGATGCGTGCTCAGTCCTCGTCTGTTCTCTGCAATTTTGCACGTAGCAATGGGTGAATGGAGACGTAATGTAGGCGCGGCGGGCATTGACTTTTACGTTTTACGATAACCAGCCGAAGCTGTTTGACGTTCGTTTTGCTGATGACGTACTTGTTTTCACTGCACCTTCGCGGAATGCAGCGTGCATATTAGACGAGCTTGTCCGATGTTGCAGCAACATTGGGCTCATTCTCAACCTCAAAAAAACAAAAATCATCACGACGGAAGCTCAAGCTCCACCACAGTTGACAACTCCTTGCGGACTGACTGTTGAGATCCTCTCGAGTGGCGTGGCGCATCGCTGGCTGGGATGCTTGGTGTCCGACGAAGGGTCTGGAAACACAACGGCCGACCTTGATTTTCACTCGTGCCTTTCATGCAAACCGTCATATCCTTTGTGACAGGAATGTTTCAGTTCGTACCGATTGAAGTTCTTTGATAAAATTATTTCGCCGATCGCGTGCTTTGCAGCTGGGCATAGCGGATCTACATCGAATGGACGTTCATTTCCACACATTTGCGTCAGATTGTTGGTGCACCACCAGATACCCAGTGGGACGATCACCCAGTGGGACGATCCATGGCATGATGTGTTGCATCAGTGGAATGTGCGGGCCTTTGGTTTTCGGGCGAGGCTACATCGACCCACGTGGTCTACAAACTGCTTGAAGCAGCACTGGAATCTGGCGGTGTATGTTATCAATCTTCCAAACACACGTTGGGTGAAGCGTGCTTTAGCATGGGGTCCTGTTGGCACACGTGTTCCCGGAAGACCGAAGAGCTCGTGGGAGTTTGGAAAACTTCGCGCGATGGAAAGGCTGGGGTGACTGGAAAGAGATTGGAAGAAACGCTGAAATATGGAGCAGCTTCCGCGATGAATATGTGAATTTCATGCTTCCTTCCAGAAATGAGCGGTAGACCGATTGACGACGTAGTTTTGCAAATAGTTAGATCGTTTTTCCTGTGCCCTTAAAGGGCCGGCTTCGCGCGGTCGGGCGACCTGACTGACTTTTTTTCAATTAATTTAACTACAGGCCGAGGAATGAGTGGTCAGGTTAGTTGTAATGGAAGCACGAACAACCGAACCACGAACCAACCTACACCAACCACCAACGAACGTCTGACTGGCGGAATTGAAGTCAAGTGATGCTTTGTTTTAATTAAACCGCGCTTCATTCTATTTCATTGCGTGTAATTTAAAGAAAACATAAAAAATCACCACAGTTGATGATTCATAGACTAGGAAATTAAGGTGCCGTTGGGATTTATGTGTTGCGTTTAAATAGAAAAGCATGTGCTACGTTCATTCCTCACTTCGCATATCTTGTTTCTTTTTAGTTCATACAATTAAATCCTAATGAAGTGTCTCACAGTAAATTAGATCACTTGAAACACTAACAAGACAATAATGTGGTTTCTTTCGTTGTTGTTTCGCTTAATGGAATGAACACTCGCTATCACTCGCTCATACTTCCCTTGCTTTATTCCATTAAATTGCAGCAACCGAACGAAACAGAGAATATGAGGATTATGAGGTGAGACTATAAGAGAATTTGTTAATGATTAGAAGATTAGAAAATTAGTTGTAAAAATATCGGAGAAGGCAATATTAATCTAAGATATACGAATTTCTAGTTCATTCCATTCCCTTTTTCATTCCTTTTCTTTGCCTTAATCTCACCTACATTACGCTACATTGATATAAGGCAAAGAGGAATGAAAGGGGAAAGGAAACAAAAGAAAAGAAGTGTAATGTGAGAATAGAAGAATGAAGATAAACGAAGAGCGAACTACGAACGAAAGAAGATAAGTAAAGTGAAAGCAGTTGATGGGTGATGTGTTCAAACTAAAACAAAAAGCCTGCACTACATTTTTCTTTGTGCTTTAATATGCTTTAATTTGACCACACCACCAGTAAACCAATTTTAATGAAGAGCACACCAGCTGTAAACACATTGCAAGCAAAGGGGTCGGTGGTCATCCAAGAACAGCACATTTTCCCAAAAATTGATGGATGACCCATTAATACGCTTGGATTTCCAAGCCATTGAGATGCGACTAAAGAAAAAAGCGCGCCTCGTTCTTTCATTGCCTTTCTTCTTTTTTCTTATTCAATTCATGCGAGATAAGGACGGAACGGAAGACAGTGGGCCGTGGAAATGTGGGGATAGAGGAAAGAAGTACAGAACCTAAATGACCAGTACTTCATCAGATTACAGGAGATTCCACGAATGATTGGATTCCTTAGTAAAATTAATTGTATCATCAGTCATGGGGTTCGTTCATTCTTCTCACACATTCCATTCACGCGTCCTTCTCTTCGTCCGTTGTAATGTAATGTTACGAAGAAGGAACGAACGGAGTGAAAGAAGCGTGTTCGTTCTGCTTTAATTTGTGCATTTTGCTCGAGCACCTGGATGTTAGTTGTAGGATATAATATGAAGAGAGTGGTTTTTGGGTTTGGTTTTTTCGCTCAGTTACAAACAAACGGAGTGCGTGCGTGAATTAAGTGAAGGACACACACACACACACAACCCACGAACGAAATCCGCATGCCAGGTGTGATGATTTGTTTTTAATTGACTTTGACATTACATTTTTCCCTTATGTTCAACACCTTTATCATTACCTTTAACTTCTAGTAGTTCAAATACGACCGAAAGAACCACGCATTCGCTCATACTTCACTACTTTGTGTTCTTTGGTCGCAAATAAGTGAAACGCAAGGGAGGAACAAGAACCCAAAAGGACGAAACCAAAGCGAATTAGAATGAGTCCCAACATAAGAGAATTCTGGTATATTCCAAATATGAAGATTTCCTGATTAATAATATGACCTAGATGCGGTAGTAATATTCTAGTACTACTTCGTCTTTCGACGGAAGCGGGCCGTTTTTCCACGGCAGGCGTCGGAACCGACTGAGCCGGCTTCTCACCTGCGGGCGGGAGACGCACTGAGCTCGCCGAAGGCTCGGCGGGGGCGATGCCCGCAGAAGCAGAAGCTGCTTCCGGGGCTCCTGCCTGGGACACCTCCTCGTTAGCCTTCGCCTTTTGCTTCTTGCGGTCTCGGGCGAGGCTTTCTGTCACAGCCTCGGCCAGAGGAGGGATCCGGAACTCCGAACTCCCGTCCTCCGTATAAACAAACGGCGCGGCCGAGGGCGCTTCAAAGCCTTCTGGCGCCGCCGGCCCGTCAGACGTGGGCACACCCGCTGCAGGCTGAGGATCACCGGCTGCACCAATGACACCTCCGTTGGCAGACGGCAACAAGTCACCAGCGCACGATCGCAGACAGCTCGACCTAGTCGTTCACAGCACCACGCCGCGGAGAGGCGCATTGTGGCGCGTTGTGCTGTGATGCGACCCTCGTCTCGCCTTCCGAGCGGATGGGGCATCCACAGCTGGGAGCCGCTGATACCGTTAGCCGAGCGCCGCAAAGGGCGCACATAGCCGGAGCTCTGCAGCAGGGGACCGCAACAGCTCGTCGTTCGCGGGCGCTGGAGGCGAGCCATGCGGACAATCGCCGAAGTCTCTGTCAGTCACCGGTGGCGAGCGAGCGCCCTCCGCGATTGCTCGCCAGGATGGGCATTCCTGCCTGACTTCTGCACGAAGGACATGGCCTGCCACCGCTGCACTGCGGAGGCACGTCGCAGTCGCATTCGTTTTCTCTGCTCCCAGTTGGCGGACGCATGCCTCGGCTAGAGCTGGGGCGCGATCGCCAAGGACAGGGAGTGCATCAGCCCACGCCGCCCAATACGCAGCAGGTGTGGTGCGGATGGCGCTGGTTAGGACGAGACCGCCAAGCGATGCCGGGAGAGTCGCCAGTGTGCGTGCCCCGTCCGCCTAGCTAGACGAGACTCCGCCGAGGCAGGCTTGCAAGGTCTCCCGCGCGGCGTCGTCGTGGGCCTGTGTGTAGCGTTGGCTCTCAGCGATGCGCAAATAGCGAGAAGAAGCCACGCGCACCGCAAGTCTGGGAGGCGAGGCAGTTGGCTCAAAGCAATTTTCCGTTCAGTGCACATTCGGCTTTCCGCCCATGACGATATGAAATGCGGGTGGCCAATGGGTGTGCTTGTTTCCCTGCCACACGTATGCGCCCAGCTCAGCGATTCTTGGTGGGAGCTCACCTCCGGCATGGCTGTACACCCGAGTCTTGCTATCATTGGAAGCTATGCCGTACAGGTCAACGCAAGGAGCCGCTCGGAGGTACGGAGTGCGGACCCAGTGGGCCTCCTTGTTTGCACCTGTCTCCTTGTGTGATATCGCGGCAACGCTCCGAATCGTCCCACCAGCAGCATATGTCGAAGCACGCCCATAAAGAATCCTCATGCAGGGCAGGAGCTCGGGCGCGACGGACTTCAGCGCGGTTGAAAATGAGGTGGTGCGCGAAATCGTGTCGTAGGCACTCCGCCCATCCAACGACACCAACACCTGGTTTGGGTTCTGGTCCAAGGCCACACGGACATGGGCCGCCAGTGCATCCGTGCCCGCGCGCGCCTGCAAAGCAAACTGGTGGGGGCGAGTGGCTTTGTCGAAGGTGTTTGCCCAGCCCTTCGCCAAAACACGTGACACGAGTCGCTATGCCGCGCACGCCACCTCCTGGTTTACGGAGAGCTGTGAGTCGAGCAATAATTGGGCTATTCCTGGCACGACGTCTGCGGGCACCTGCGCGTTCGCCAGCTACGTTGGGGCGTATGCGAGAAGCTTGAAAGCTGGCTGCAGGGTCCTAGAGCAAGATTCTCAAATGGTTTGCTCCCATGCCTGTCAACCTTGCTGCGCCGCCCACTTCGCATCCAACCAGGCCGCCGCAACAGCGATCGGGCCGAGCTGAAAGGGGATTGCCGGGCTAGTGATTTGTATCTTTTGACGGCACTGCCGTGCGCGCTCGTCGTGGGCGGCGAGCGCGGTCTGTTAACAA